TGAACTCAGCAAAGCAAGCAGTGGAAAAAAAGACTGCACAGAGCAACCTTGATAAAGTGGCTCAAAACAGAACAAAAAAATGAGGAAACAGTACTACTTCTGCAAGAAAAAGGCCTCCCCTCCAAATCCCACAAAATCCACTTTAAACACTGCACTATAAAGATGCACATTTTCCTGCTCCCATTCATTTTCTTTCTCATTTTATATTAATGGAAATGTGCAGAAGGTTTTGGTGACTTCTTGTCCTGGGTTCAGCAGTAGCAGTCATTTTTCTCCTTCTTGGTAGCTGGGCAGTGCTGTGTTTTGACTTTCGGGCTGGGAACAGAGCTGATAAAAATGATGTTTTGGTTTGGCCAAGGACTTTGTGAGCCTCATGCTCTGCCAGGGAGGAGGGAAGCCGGGAGGAAGCAGAGACAGGACACCTGACCCAAACTGACCAAAGAGGTATTCCATAATGCAGCATGTCATGCCCAGGAGGTAACTGGGAGTTACCCAGAAGGGCTGGGGGGACTGCAGGGTTGGAGGAGGTATCGGTCGGTGCTTGGTCGGGCTGGGGGGGCAAGTTATCGGTCGCCTGGTGATGAGGTGTTGTATTCTCTTCCCTTGTTATTTCCTTTATCATTACTATTACTGGTGGTAGCAGTAGTGATTTGTGTTATACCTTAGTTACTAAACTGTTCTTATCTCAACCTGTGGGAGTTGCATTCTTTCTGATTCTCCTCTCTGTCCCTCCAGGAGTAGGGGGACTGCAAGAAGGGGGGGGAGTGGGTGAACGAGCTGTCTGGCTGGGGTTAAACCACAACACTTCTCTGTGTGCAAAAAAGCAACTTCTGGGAACTTGCTTTTGAAGAACCGAACAGACCAAAGACTTTGACTCTTTGTGTTGTGCTACCTGCTCCAGCACAGCTGCGCTCCCATGGTGACTGCTCTGACCTCAGTACATAATGTTCTTATGTGGAAGCAATTATTCATGCAGACATTAAGATGACAAAAAGCTAACCAGCACATCACTGTTGAAAGAGGGTATTTACATCCTCAGAAGGGACTGTACCAGGATGTACCAGCAAACAGGTATTGACCATTGTAAAATCTACCATCAGGGAAAAAAAAAATCAGGGTATAGCTCAGACCAGTCTTTCTTCAAAAAAATGCTTTAAAAAAATCAGCATTTTATATGTGTGCATTTTCTCTTTCCATTTGGTTTGTGCTTTAAAACATGCTCACTTTGTCTGTTCCCCATAGCTGTGTAGCCCTTAGGCTAAAAAAAAGAACAATGCAGTAAGAACTGACTCTTGAAGTGTGATGTCAGACCCATGAGCTCTACAGCATCTGATCATCACCAGGGGCAGCAGCACCGGTGTCCTCACCACAACCAAGTGTTTCACTCTCCATCCATCATTTGTCTCAATTCCAGGGCTCATCTTTGCTCTTCTCCTCTCGCGAATTTCTCTTTTCCCCACACAAACGAACAGGCAGCAAACGAACAGAAATCCTGCAAAAAGCCCTCGCACCTTCCTGCTCTGCCTGAAAACTGCACATTCCTCCCCTTGCACAACTCTCCCCTCCCACTCACAGAGAGCTTCTCCCTGCTGGGCACACACACGGCTCTGGGTCAGCTCTCCCTGACATTCCTGGCTTGTGGGGTTTCCATTTGTGGTTGTCTCTTAAAGCCCTCCCGCATCCCACCAGGACAGCCCCCCACCAGTGATATCCTACAACAGCGGTCATCACAAGCTGCACCACAGTGCTACCTCCCAAGCTGACCTCACGGGAGAAAGCTGTCTCCTGCTCCAGACCTCCTGCAAATAAAGTTTGTTGCTGAAACATAGGGAACTTAGAACAAGTAACAGGGCATCAGCAGATGAAAGTTACACATTTCCTTGTCTTAAAAATAAGGTATTGCATACAAAAGACGGCTACTCCACTGAAAAATATCACACAAGGGAATGCTTGGGTTTTTATGTGAGCTAGCAGGTTATCTGAGAAAGCTAACTGTAAAAGTATCATTCAAATAGGATGTGAACTGCAATTCACTGAACGTGGGAACAACTGACAACCACCTTTTTTACTACTTTCAGAAACAATCAGCAGAAATTCCTTTAACATGGATACCGGCACTTACCCAAAATATGATTTTAAAACACAAAACAATATGCGCATGTATGTTATACACAGTTTAATTCAGAGAACTGTTACCTTTCAATACACATCCTGATCTTCAGTGTCTATGCAGAAATCTGTACAGGCATCTTGTCAGTGGGCGAGGATGCTAAAACATTCTGCACGTTCAGTTACGTGTTTCTGGTCATGACATCAGTTCAGGAAGAGTGGCCACCACTGGACGCAAAAGCCACTAAATATTAAACTCAAACATATAACATTGACTTCTTAAAGCTCCAGTGCCCCCAAACCACTACAGCTGTTAGACTGTGTTTAACCATGAGTTAACCATGCCAATGTGATGATGCTCTTCAAGTACTTCGTATTGCTGTAAGGAACTGGAACTGTACAAACTAAGGAAACAAAGAAAAGAAATAAAACCAAACAGCAAACCCCACTTTTGACATGATCATTTGGAGCAGGTTAAGCATCTGAGCATGCAGCCTTCTCCTGAGACTACACTCATTCCTTTCCAAACTTGGGCTCTTTCAGACTCCAGAATGAAAATATCTCGCCCAGACAATCAAAAGAAATGAAAACTTGGGACTTAATGAAAGTTCATTCAAGACAGGAAATTGAGCTGGTCAGATGTGTTGAAAGTGATGGCAACCAGAAACTGCATTCTGAAGCTCTGTATAAAACAATCCCTTCCTTTCCCTCCCCAAGCCATCTGCAGATGTGCAGATCTGCAGAGCAGCATGCCAGGTCCCAGGAGAGAACGCACCAACAACAATGTTCATCTGCAAAGTGAAGCAGCAAGGACACAGCCAGCAGTACACATCAAACCCGCGCACACAAACAGAAACATCTTCATCCTGTATTTACAGCCAGGGTCTGTTTCACTAGTGCAGCTCATAGCTTCCTTCTTCAGACAGGCCGCAACACTGCTCTGTCCCAGAACCACTGCAGCACCATTTGGGATGCAAGGTGTCCTCTCCTCCCCAGAACTCATCTGGGGCTGGATTAAAGGTTCTATGAAATGCAGCCAAGCATTAGATTTAAAAGTAATAGGAATGGCAAGAAAACCATGTGAGATATAAAACACATCAGTCTGAAAACATATTTAAAAGGAGGCAAGAAAGGGATTTTGCTAGTAAGCCTGACGTTCTGGAGAACAATATAATGAATAGCAGCAGTCAGTTCCAACAGGCCATGTGTGTTAGGAGCAGATACTGATGTACCTTAAAAAAATAATCCACATTTAATTAAAATAACTATGTACATATGAGACACATAGTAAAGGTTCTCTATGCTCCAAAATCCCCTTACAATAACTTCTATATTACAAATGTATCTTCCAGTGTCTGGGTACACAATGAGAGATTTGGAAGGGCCACACATCATTCCCTGAATTCAACCCCTGATACTGTGCTTTAACATGAGCAGTGCTTTGCTATTATTTGCTATTTGCTATATATTTGCTATTGTTGTTTATTGCCATGGTCAGGATTGAGCTTTTCAGTGGTGCTCTGCAGAACAAAAGCACGCAGGTGGCGTTGGGCAAGCCTGTGTCTGATCAAATGTGAAAAGAAAGGAAGAAGAAAGAAGTGCTTTCGTGCAATCTGCTGTAGAACTGCAGTGCCTTTTAGCTCTTCCAAGTGACTGTTCTCCGCCAGACTTCTGCCTCTTCCTGGTGGCATGGCCTCAATCAGCCTCACTGTAAAACAAGGCCAGTATCCCTCTGAAGATGCCATTTACCATTCACCTTCCAGTGTTCAGCTTGGACCAGCCTTGCCCACATCTAAACCTGCCACACTGGACCATTTTGCCTGGCCGACAGTGTCAGCATCATCAGCCTTTCTGTGCTGGGACAAGAGCATCACCTGCAGGTTTCACTGCAGCCACTGCCAGATGCCAGGAGCATCCTCAGGCAGGGCTCCCACACATGGAACAACTTAGGGTGCATGCCTTAGCTGTTGACCTCCAGCCCAAATACTCCCTTTGTCCTGCCTCCAAATGACTGCTCTGGTGCTGCCTTTGCAGAGATGGATCTCTCCGCTCCGCTGCTGAGATCCATCCTCAGTGCTGAGAAACTTTTGCACTGGGTTTGGTTGGTGGCTGTTGTTTGTTTTAGGGGTTCTGGGGGTTGTTGGCTTGGTGTGGTTTTCCCCATCTGCCAGACCCACATGCTGCAGGCAGCTCCTGCTCTATTTCCCCACTTGTCACAGCAGGCCCTGGCCTCCAGCCTTCTACAGCTCCATCTGTGATTGCAACACCACCACCAGCAGCATGCCCCCTGCAAGAGAAGCATGCGAAGTCAGCCCGTGGGGTGCAACAGCAGTTCTGTTGCGCTCACACGAACACAAGGGGGAAAAGGGGTGAGTTTCCTAAACCCAAAAAGAGATTTCTATGGCCAGGTTGGACACAGGGGCTTGGAGCAAGCTCCTCTCGTGGAAGGGGTCCCTGCCCGTGGCAGGGGTTGGAGCTGGAGGAGCTTTAAGATCCCTTGAACACAAACCAGGCTGGGGTTCCGTCAGCGTGTCCGGTTTAAGATGCCCCTTGTCTGGCATGAGGAGGTCCCAGAACCGGTTCCCACCCTCTGCCACGTTCTGTTACTGCACGGGTCAAACAGACCCAGACAGACCCGTAACAACCCAGCCCCATGCTCGTGGAACGAGCAGGGTCCTCCCGCTCCGGAGCAGCAGCGCTCCCCGCGGGGCCAGCCCAGCTCCCACACCTGCAGAGCGGGGCCTTCACTGCGGGCACGGGCAGCGGCACGGAACGGCCCGGCCTGGCCTGGCTCTACCTACCTGATCCGTGCCCGTGCCGGCCCCTCTGCCTCCAGCCCGGTCCCCGGCAGCGCCCGCCCGCGGGTCCCCGGCAGCACAGAGGGACGCGTGTTTGTATCCAAACCTTTATTAGAACAATCCCCAAGAGCTGACAACAGTGAACAACAAATGGACACGCTCCTGTTAGCAAAGGTACTGCAGCAGCGCAGGCCCATTTCTCCACAGCAGAAGCAACAGCGTTTAGAGCTCAAACTGTCGTGCTCGTGTCAGTTTGGTTTTGTCAAGGTGACAATTTAACAATCACATCAACGAGACAGTGACCTCCATCCCGCTTCTTAAACAGCCTTTTCCGTGGTTTTACAAGCCGGTGTTTGGGAGAAATACATGTGGATGCTCTGCAGCAGAGTAACAGACAGTATCAGTAGCACCAGTGTTACTGGAACATGAATAAACAGTTCTCTTTCCAATTGGATCATAGCGCAGTACAAATCAACATCACCTCAAAATCATCACCTGTATCAAAAGTTTAAAAATTTAGCATAATTTATAAACATTTCTAGAATAGAAAATGGTCAGTCTCAATGTGGAGGATGGGCTTCATGCGTATGGCAAACAGATGCACCAGACACACCAGCTTCTCCCCTCCTGCTCTCAGTACTCGAGCCCAGCTCTCCTTGCAGCAACAGGTACAATCATATGGGTGCTGGAACCCAAAGTAGAACTGGCGTTCTCAGCTCAGGAGTTCACCATGCCATAAATTAAAGCTATAAATGACTGTACTACTTAAAACGGAACATCTTGCATTGGTTTCATTGGATTATTTGACCATGGCCATGACAGGTTTCCTCCCGGACCAGACAGTCTGTGTCTTCACCACACTGTAGGGGCTGCATCCCGCAGCCAGACACAACCAACAGCTCTCCCATAGTTCACTGCATATCAGTTAATTGGAAATAAGGAGAGCACGCCTTTCCTTACCAATCCTTTCCTGTTCTGTAGTCTACATGGTGCGAATAAACTTCAGAGTAGAAGCCAGGTGAAGTAACAGCCTGTAAGGCACTTTGAGACGACACAGCTGTCCAGGCTGAGGAAGAGGCCCAAAGGAGACAGACGTTACACGTCACCCAGGAGAGCCAGGCTGTTCTTCCCCATCACTCCTCTGACAACCACTTGCAGAAGAACACTTACTGACTGTCCAGAACCAGCTTGACACTGCACCTGCCAAAATCTGTTTCCTGTTCTACAGCAGAACATGCAACTTTACAGTATCTCATCCTTCTAAAGAGTAGTGTCCAAGAGACCATTCAGCACCCCTGGGACACCCGAGAATCCGCTGCTGCATACCACTTGCTAAAAAACACCTCAGCATAAGAAACAATGCCATCTTTCTCATTTCTTTGTTTTGTTTCTGGGGTTACTTTTTTTTTCTGGTTTTTCCCCTTTTTTTACAAAATTTGAAGGCTTGACATTAAAACTTTGGTATAAAACGTGTAAATGAAAGCCATCCATTAATATATCCTAGGGAGGCACAATGAACCCAACCAGAACTAAACCAAACATGACTACGGGGATGTGATAGCAGGTGCTTTCTACTGTCTCTTGGTTTCTATGTTCTGCTTGCTTGTGGGGTCCATATATGGGGCTTTCTGCCTTCCCAAAGCTTCTCCTGGGGCTGAGAAGGACCAGGACCTGCCAAGCCCTTTGCCAGCAGCAGCACAATGGGCTTCTGCCACGTGTTGGGTCCCAGCATCACCTCCTCTCCTGCACTGTCAGCACCAGACGCCCTCCAGCATGTGCCACGTCTGTCACGTGTGCCACGGGGCTGTGCCTCATGGGATGGGTGGGCACACCGTCACCAACTCCCATGGGCTCAGAGCAAAGCACACAGGACATAATTCACCGTGTTACAGACACAGCTACTACAGATTCCACTCTCTGAAGTGAGGGATGGAATTTTCAGTTTTACACTACATAAAGCAACAAAGGACATGTCCAGATCCATGAACGTCACCACTAGGACCTCCTCTGTGGTGCAAGGCTGCAGACTCTGGCACACAGGATGAGATAGGAACCATTATAATACGTTAGTCTTAAAATATTTTATGTTATTCTTTCCCAAGTAATTACTTTACTTTCATTAATTTCTACTTAATTCATTAATAGCAATTTATTTTTTAAAGCCAATCTTAGTATTAAATCATTCTGATTTATTTATTGAATCTAGTGATTACAAAATCTACATGGTATTGCTTTATATTGTCACAGTTCTCATAATTATATTGTTAAGAAAATGGCTTTTAAGTTTTTTCAGAAATGATGATCACATTCTAAATAATTTCACAAAATAGTGAGTGAAGCAAATTTATACACATATATATTTACTGTATATAAATAATAATACAATTTAAAACTTTCACTTTTAGAAATTCCTTTAGTAAATGCATAGGCTTGTTACAAAAGTCTTCTAGTCAAATGACTGTCTACTATGTCTATTATGGTTTATTCCTAATAAACTCTATGGTTACATTCATATGATAAAAAACCACACTGTGTTCAGAAACACGCTTTTTCGGCTGAGCTCCCAGTAAGACACTCAAGTCCAATAGAAATATAGATTCCTTAATGCAAACTAACCACACAGTGCTATCGAAAAAATAAGATTCAAAATAAAGGTTTAGCAGACAGGCTGTGATCAGACCAGCCACTCCTTCAATCACAGAATGGTGACACAGACCCCAGAAAGCTACTGACTGCATTCTCGGAAGAGATTAGAATGGGGGGGGGGTGTTGGATATTCGACACCATGCACATAAGGAGAAAGGAATGACGATGATGATGCAAAACTTCATAGTTGGAAGCCTGTGTTTTTCTGAAAGCAGGTTCCTCAGCCCTTTCCAAAAGTCAGGTTTACTCTAGGCTAAGAGGGGTTTTCAAAATCTGAAGGTGCCCACAACCAGCAGTTCCATTTGAAACTGTACACCTTCACATTACTTGAGTCCTAAACCAGACCCCTCACTTTTGCTCCAGGGAAAGTGCTGCAGTGCCAACCCAATCACAGGGAATGCACACGAGTACCCTGTGCTTGCACATCACCTCACCAGGTTTTGAGACCCTGCCGTGCCTGTGCCAGCAGCACAGGGATGGTACCCACCGTGCATCAGCAGGACCCAAGGCCGGCCACATCAGGGACAGTACTTCTGCCTCTGTAGTCCTTACAGTTATCATGAACTGGAGCCATGAGTTGTTAGAGAGCAAAATCACTTTGGGATGTGGATTGTCAGGAAACTTTCCCCAGAAATTTGCATGCAAATAGTCTGGAAAAGAATTTGCCTTTCCCTTTGTGAGACCAACTGACTCCTGGGGCTAGGAAGGTATGTCAAGTGCTGAACTTCTGTAAGAGGTCTAGCAGAGGCATGGCACATGCCACTGCTGCAAGCAGACAGTAATGGAATATCTTACCCACTATGGCAGAATCCATGAAAACTAGGGGCAGGATCAGTGTGGCTGGGTCCTTGGGCACCCATGAGAACAATAAATTAAAACCTTTTCAGCTCAGCTCATGGCAATAAAGGACTTGAGAAGCACTCCAGTGTAAGACTTCTTCCATGAGCAGAGCTGCTACTAACCCCAGTGACACTTCTACTAATGGGAGGGTCATTAAATGGAACAGAATATTAATGTGCTTTCTACCAATGGATATTGTTCTAATGACTGGGCAAATTTAATAATAAAAAAGCAAACTAAAGCTTTTGGAGCATGTTTCAGTATCTAAATAATTCATGCTGCATCATGAGAAGAATCGAGTTCAATGTGTTAACACATTTCTGTGTGAGCACCTGAGAGCCCGGAGACCTGCTGAAGGAGCAGGCCTGGCCCTCAGGACACACACGGTCACTGCAATGTCTTATTAAGGAGCCCTTCTGAGCTAGGCAGTGGCAACAGAATTCCTCGCACAACTGCAGCCAAGGCTTTCTTCCAAGTTAAAAAAAGACTGCATTTGGTTTTCCTTTCAGTGCAACTCAGCTCCTCGTAACGCAGAACACAATCAGAGATAGGAGGATATTAAGTGCATCTCTCTCACACATCAGCTAAAAATGATACATTCACCATCTTGTACCAGATGAAACTTCTTTTGTGAAACCACAAATCGAGTGCAGTGGGACCTTCTCTTGATTAGATCATCTTTCAAGCACAACTCACAGAAAACTTCACTTTAAGCAGGACCAGGTATAGCCTCCTCTGACCACCTTCTTTGGGACCTGCAGGGTACCATCATTTCATAAAAGACGCAGATGTGGATGTGCTTAAAATATCACTATGTTTTTCAGTGTAGGGAATCATTAATGCATGTATAATCACAGTTTAAATAGCTGTGAACCAGCTCGTACAAAAAAATACAATCATAGCACCATATTTACAAATTTAGTACCATCTCCTAGGTAACTAGAGAGTTTCAAACAATCTTTTATGGCTGATTAGGTTATGTTAGTGCTTTCAAAAAATTGCCTGAATTTCTTTTACAAATATACACTTACAAAAAGAAACGTTATCAAAACTGCTGTCATCTAAGGCAGCAACTTGTGTTACAAAAGTTATTAAAACTTCATTATAGACTTAAAAAAGCTTCAAATTTACATTTTCCTTCTCGTAGGCACTCTATAAACTAAAACGTGGCCTGTTTTCACAGATGTTAGTTTAAGCACTTAAACTAGTTAAATGTTACCAATGTTGCTCATTTTTTTTTAGATATAAGCAAAAGGAAAAAAAAAATCACCCATTAACCAGAAGCATCATTTACAGTTTTTACTTTTGCCTACTTTATACAAATTTTGCTTAAAAGTGACACTGTTTTGATGTTGCAGTTTAGTGTATGTTATCCCACTGCCTTCTTAGGGCTTAGCTCCTTCTTCCCTAGAATTCGGTGAAGGCTAGCTGACATGAAGTAGGGTTTTGCTGTAGATCCATCATTTCTTTCCAGGTCTTCACCTGAATTTACACAGCAAAAGCAGCCAGAAGAGCAGACAGCAGTTCAACCACACACACATCCAGAATTGAAGAAAAGAGAGAGCAGAAGAGCCAGTATTAAAACCAGTCTCAGGCAAGGCAGTTCAGCTGTACTGTTGACGAAGGACGCTATCAAATTTCTATTTGCTCAAACCAGAAGAGGTTTTACACAAAGCAGAGATGCAAACATCTAGCCACTTTTAAATGATGGCAATATATGCAGTTTATTCCCCAGGTCTTTGGTTTGGCAGTATAGGTGGGAATTCTCAGAAACATTCATGCCTCCACAGAAGCCTGGCATTTCTGGCTTAAAATTTTGCCCCAAAGAGAGCTGAGGATCTAAGCACTTCTTAAAACTGGACCTTTTTTTACTACCTAAGATAAAGTTCTTCTGACAACCTGATGCCACAAGTGCACAATATTCTATATGATCTCCGGGTATCCATTACTGAATTACTGCAGGGGAAGCAAACCAGAATATAAATTTTAAATAATGAGGCAGACATACTGCTTTTTTTCCTCCAGGGAAAGGAAGAAGGCCATGACTAAACTGGCTTCAGCCCAGTGTTTGTGCCATGCAGTAGTCACAGACCAGTGAACTATTTCACACTGATGAGCAATCTGGAGGGAGTGTGCAAGGAAGCACAGTCATTGCAAGTGCAACCCTGCTGGGGCCAGAGAGAGAGCACTACATATAAGGGCTGGCCAAAGAGGTTAGAGGAAGCAAATCTTCAGGTATCTCCAAGGCAGTATATACCCTGTGGATTTGGAATGAATTAAAAAGAAAACTGCTAATACTTGAGTGCACCAACAAACTTTCTATATTTAATTAGTTTGGTCAATTTCCATTTTACTCTAAATAACAGTAGTAACTTACTTATGGAGTGTTATTAGTGCTATGTCTGCCTGTGATTATGTTTGTTTAGAACCAAAGTCCCTAACTCAAGATAAATAGCTCTCAACTGGACATTAACTTTCAGTTTTCTGACTGATTTTGTTCTTGTGATTCTTTGGCCACCCAGTATTTCCAGAATCACTGCTAACCTTAGTTCCTCGGGAAGCAAGGTTAGGAAGCCACGTGTTTAAAGGAAAAAAAGACTTTATGGTATTGTAAAAGGAGGATCAGTATTACCATGTTTACCATGCCTCAGTGATCCACTATGCGTGTGCTAGATTAAGCCTATGACTATAGTCAAGCCTATGACTAATGCTAAGGGGATCAGTATCACCTTAGCATTATCAAGTAATTCACCAGCTGCAAGAGCAATCACTACCATGCAACTTCAACTCGGGCCTACCAGAATGACTTTGATTATAGGAAAATCGTATCTTTATTTCTTTAATTCTATAAATCTAGGAAATTGAATGTATTTTGTAATAAGTACATCCTCTTCTTATAGTCATGTCCTAATCTGAGATAGATTTTTTTTTGTGACTTCAGTATTCTCTGACTGGACACGCTGAACAGCAGCAGTCCCTCTGAGAGTGCCCAAGATGGCTTGCCACTGGTGGGTCCAAGGGACAGATAGTTTGTTAAATGGTATTTTACACAAATTTGAAGACATTTCAGCATAATACTTTGTTCAGGGCTGTTAAGTTGAATGAAACATATATGCCCTAACTATTCTATGATTCTATAAACACGTACACCAAAAAATAACTTTGTTATTGACAAAAGGTTTGAGTAAAACATTTCTGTACAGGGCTCTTTACAAAGCACTCAGAAAAAAACTGCTAACGGAAGTTAAGGAACGACTGAAAAACAAAAGCCAGATATCCCCAAGAGCCAGACAGCTACCTTCCATTACTTAAACTAATTAAAACTGAACACTGAAACACTTTTGCACATCAAGGAGCCAGTCCGAAAAGCAGTTTGTTTTTCACAGTCTGATAGCATGTCACCAGAATTCTGTAAGGAATGGATAAGGTGGTTTTCTACTCTTCCCATTACTTGCAGGTATTAGTGAAAGAAACCATGGTACTTACAAAAGCAGAGGAAAAGCGTGTCAACACACATTGCATAGACGCTGAAGAACCCGTGTGCAACTAGGTAGGAGCCAATAATGACTGTCTACAAAAAAACAACACAATAAACCCTCAGATTCAGTTTAGCATCATTGTGGCAGTGGTAACACAAGTCAGAAGCCTAGTCTGCTAAGCATATTTAGGAAGATTTAATGGCACCTCCATAATTCTACCCAAGGTCACTACTTCTGCAGAAAGGGATCACAGGCTCAAGACACTGTATTCTAACATGCAGTAGCTGCTGGCTTTCCAGCTACCAAATTGCAGCCATTTCTACCCCCAAAGAGAATATATGCCAAGGATATTCTGAACTCCTGCAAGATTATTCTAAAGAACCCTCATCCTGGAGATGGCCCAGAGCCCAGTGTGGCTACAAAAGGAGAAAGAGATGCATCAGAAGTCCCTTCCACTAGAAGTCACACTGACATTGGTGCCTCACCACCAGCCTCTGCAGCTCAATCCTCACCTCAGTGGACAGTATGCCACTGAGAGGGTGACAACAGAAGCTACTACCAGACTATTCCCTGAGTAGTCTGGACACCTCAAATTGCTCTCAACAGTCAGGAGAGTAGGTAGTTGCCTTACCAACAATGGTACCCAGTAGTAATTTAACGTCGGTGCTTCCTGTGCAATGACTGGTATCTTCTGTGTGAAGAAAAAGAATGCAAGAACACCTGCAAGAAGAAGAAAAGATCACTGATTCCTATACTGACTCTGATTTCCTAAGACTAAAGAGTGGATGAGATAAAACAAACAGACAACAGAACCAAGGTCGGTTTAAATACGAGCTTGCAACCAGTAAATTCCTCAACACCAATTATCTCCTGGATCTGCATTCTGACAGAAGAGACATGTAAATGAATTAATTACCATAAAGATATTCATGGGCCCAGAGAGATTTTAATAAATTGTTTTATCATTCTACTGGATTTAATAGCATAATTAATACATGACGATAAACAAGACGATGACATGGGATAACAAGGGCCAATGGGTGGATCTTTTGTAAAATAAAGAAGACTGAGGAAAAATCTGCTGCTTTAACTTTTATTGCTTGAAGAAATACTGAACTACTTCAGATTAAATGGGGAAACGGCAGTGCTAGTGATAAGCACGAGAGGTTTAGAACAGATCAATGCACCTGTAACAGAGATCACCCAAAGAGTTTATTCTTGAAGATGACAAAGACACAAATTAATTTCAGTATTCCATGGCTTACATTTTGGAGAACATGTTTCAAATCAAATTTGCTACCCCAGCTGAAAGTCAGGCTAGAGTAATGACAAAGTATCTTAGATCTGCTCTTGGGACTAAATTTTCAATTTTTGATTAAAACAGGCTTTGCTAGTATTTCTTCTTTTTTAGCATACAGAATACAAAATGTAGTTACTTGTAAAATAATGATTGAAGCAGCTGTGACAATTGTGAACATGGGGAGGGAACATGTCAACCCCACATCTGAGTGTTCCATTTAAAAAATAAAATCACTTTTCTGTCACAGAAAAGCATGAATAACATATTTTTATATTTACTGATAATTAAGAAAACCCTTTATAGCTCATAGCTATAAAGGTTTAGTGTGAGGTGTCCCTGCCCATGGCAGGGGGGTTGGAACTGGATGATCTTAAGGTCCATTCCAACCCTAACTATCCTATGATTCTATAATGAGTTGAATACAGAAGAGCTTCAGGCCCATCTCCTGCAGACCTGCCCCACTTCCTCCAGTTATGGAAAAGATGCTGCCAACAGCACACAGAGCAGAGGGAGAGGGGGGGAAAAGAAAAGAATCGTCTTAGTTCAATCCTGTGAACTCCACAAATATCGGAAAACTTCCCAAATGGTAAGGCCCATGAGAACCTCTAGCTGTTAACTAAGCACATATAAACATGGCGTGCTTGTAGGTACCAGGACACAGAATGTTGGAAAAAAAAATTAGCTTACCTACACCACCAGCAACGAGGATTTTCCCCAGGAATAAAAGGAAGTCTGTAACTTTGTCCAGAACTGCAACTCTGTCAGCAAAGGACAAATGATACACAATTACCACCCAGACACTTGTATTATTTCTCCTTAAATCGATAGTTTATCTACAGATAATTGACAAACAAGACCAAAAGGTGTCTTCTGCTGGTTTCATGGGCTGACAATACAACCACGCAGAAATGCAACACTGAGATGGGCTTTGTCATAGCCTGATCCTAGGAAGCAAAGCAGCACTGAGCCTCTTGGTGAGTTAATACAGCAATATTGATTCTGCAGTTGAAGACCATTCACTGTTCTTGATGGTTAAAAAACAAAACAAAACATCAAATTATGTTTATTTCAGCCTTTCTTCTAGGGCCACAGATAAACCAGGCTAGAAGAGGCAAAATACACACCAAAAAAAAAGCAATGCTTGTAGGTCTTCTTCTTACTTTGTCCCATCTGGCCACATTTCACGACTCCATACCATGCCAAATCCACTATTTTAAGATATCATGGTACAACACTGAAGGCAGGAGGCCTCAAATCAAAGAGACAATCACCAACAGATGAATTAAGGTAGACAGCAGAACTGACAGTAAATATGCAGCCCTCACTGAAAGCAACAGCAGGGAGTTCCTGATCGAAATACTTCAAGCCTTTCTTACCAGAAACTGCAGGTAAATAATGGGATGGAAAATGAGCTTTGTATCATCAGCCTAAAGCTATGGATATGGTAATGCACAGGACTGACTACCATGAAAGATGAATGCTAAGGAATATTAAAGAGAGTAAATCATAATTAACCTGTCAGAATTCAAAATTAGCAATATACACAAGACAAAAATGTCTCAGTTTGAAACAATGAAAAGTACATGCCTGGCTTTTAGCTATTGCTCTTAATGATTAAGAGCAAAACCACAAACGGCAGTGAGGTGATGTTAGGAAAGCAGATGAAGGCAGCTTCTCTGCCTTATTGCACAGGCGTAGGCACCACTGTGCCACTATTACTGCGGGGTAATGGAGTGAATGCACCCCACTCTCCCATCTCCAATTCTTCACTCTAGTTTCTTAAGCATCATTTTCATTTTCCTATTTCAGCCTCCCTCTCCATTCATCTCCACCTCCCAGTCCTTCACTTAATTTGAATCACCTAACCAGTTTTATTGTGTCTCTTGCTTGGCAATCAGGCTGTCTGCTATTATATCAACACGACCTGCTCTTAAGTTATTCTTCCACTATTTTCTGATCTCACAGTAGTACAGGAAGAGCCAGGAGCGATGAGGAAAAGTACTGATGAGAACAGGGAGCTTGGCAGCAGTCTTCATAGTAGGGAAAAGGGCCAGGGGAGTTCCCAGCACTAGGGGTATGTGGGTATGTTACAGATACTGGTTTGGAAAGCAAAGTACTCTCTTCTTTTCTTCCATTCGCTGACACCCCGTAAGCTTTCTGGTTCACTCTAAAGACTTAAGTATTTCTGCTTTCCTTTTTCACAGACAGTGAGTGGGCCAAAGCTCAAGAAACACACATATAGCAGATGATGAGCACCCCATTCCTGTATATCTGCAGGTCTCCTATCAAGGGTTCCATTGGTTCCTTGGAGGAATCTATACTGGATGCTTATGAATTTGAAAGAGCAAATCACCACAAAACTGGTGGATTCCATCAGCTTTGCACAGGTTGCTGTGCTGGAGAGCCTGCTGGCCATGTCTGAGGACAGAAGCATCTTCCAATAATGGGAGAGGACAGAAGTCTGTCTTCAGAGCGTGACAGCAGGTAATCCCAACATTCCAAGTCCTGGGGGGCAGCCCCTTACCTCACCACATTCCGCATGAGCAGAAAGAACGCTTCCTTCGCCGAGGTGCAGAAGTTTTTACCATAGATGGCAATCTGCAAAAAGCAGTAGCTGTTCAGTATTCAAATAATGAGGATCCCCCCTTGTGTGCCAGCATCTTCCAGAGCATGGTTCTGGTACATGCAGTGGGACTCAGGTGAACATAAAGCATTTCCCCCAGTCACCCGCTACCTCTCAATGCTCCCACCAGGTTGGGACAGAGTATTATCCACCTTTCCCCTTCAAATGACCTGGTGATGAGTGTGCCACCCCAGTGATCTGGCAGGCAGGAGACGCAGTACTGAGTTTGCCAAGTCGAGCAAATAAGGTACTTGCTGAGGACTCTCACATCACTTGCTACCTGCACTAGATTTATAGTCAGTGGAAAGAACAGGCACTTGTAGAGCAGAAGTGAGTTGACCCCTGTAGGTCTCTCCTTGGACCTGACGCTGCTCTCAATAAGAATCAGGAATACCAGTATCAAAGTGGATTTACATCAGCATAAAGTAAAGCAGCTAAAGTTATTCAGGAACACAACCTTTTCTTCCTGGAATAGCATCTGCTAGGGTAGGATATATTAGAAGAGCTCTCAGTGCATTCAGTTTACCAACTGTAAACAAGATAGTCAACAAGAATACTTCCTCTTCCAGACGGCATTCGTTTCTAACACCAATTGCATGAACATGGGTTATAATGGACCCATTCCAGCCACCTCTTTTGAGATAACAAGCCAGGACTGTACCATTCAAACAATGAAATTGCTTCCAGTCAGAGCATCCTAGGCTGACATCTGTGTGGCTTTATTTAGATGAAAATTTGGAAGTTCTCTTCTGGAATCTAAGAAGGTTATTTTAGAGAAACAGCACTACTGCTGCTGGTAGAATTTGTGCTTTTAACTTCCAGGAGGAAGTACAGATACCACATACCTTATACAAACACTGCCTCCGAACAGAAGTGTTATCAACATGCCACGTGAAACGAGTTCATATTCCTGTTGAAATCAGGATTTCAATTGCTGACTCAGATGGGGAGTTAACCAGTTATGCCATCTCCTCCCCCCTACTTTGGGGGGTGAGGGTGATGGACAAGGACAGGCACGAAAAAAAGCTGAGCTCCTCAACTGAGGGAAAACAAAAAATCTTTTCCATGGTAGGACCACATGCATTCCTGACAACTCTTATAAATCCCATTACTTTTCCAGCAGATTCTAGTACCGCTCGCTGCTGAGCCATTAGGAGCGGCTAGGCTATTTCAGTGCCCCAGACAGGGAGACCACCTGCAGAGACAGCACATACCATGATGTAGGCATTTCTGTTTATAAATTTTAAGAATTTTTCCAAACACCAGAAACAGCATTTGAGGCAGCAGAGTAGGAATCTAGTGAAGGAGTTCTGTGTACCTGGAAAAGAGGAGAGTACATCATACACAGAGCTCCTGAAGTGTCTTTCTCAGAACATGGAAAGGTATTCATAAGAAAACCTTACATTATGACAGAAGCAGAAACATTACTTCTTTTCTTCTAGGTACGGACTCTCTTTCTTGACCAAATTTAGCTCAGCAGCTTTCAATTAGAGCAGATCCACATCCCCCACACAAACTTTGCATTAGGTTCCCAAGGACACAGCCTCAATTTGAGTAAATCAGCATACATTCACTGGCTTCAAATGCAACTACAACAGCAAAAGCTCTCTTTTCACTGACGAAAAACATCTTGGGAGAGGAGGGAAGGGATTTACCAGAGGAGGCCTTGATAAGCAAGGGTAGATTCATAAATCTCACCTTTCAGTTTGTGATCCAAGTACTCCAATATTACTCGAATAAGCTGGACAATTGCAAGAATTAAGGCTCCAAATGCCAGCGAACCTGTATGGTATCTAAACAAAATAAATGACTGTTATATTGCACTTATGTACATATTTACAGTTATACATACATGTGCATGTGTGTGTATACATAGAAATAAAATTATAACTGAAGGAAGGCCCATTAGTGGGAATTACACATACTAATGGACTATTACCTTGATCCACAAAAGAGAGGAACAGGATGAAGCCATGAGTACTTCTGGTGTTTGAGTGCTGTGTCTGTCTGTGTGGCCAGCTGTGTATACATGTGTTGCATACATGTATTTGGGTGTGTGTGCCTACTGGGAATACGTGCTCAGCCTTGTACTTGGCTGGAGCTGGGGGCATGGAGCTGCAGCAGCCTTGCTGCTGTTGGGCTACAGGATTCAGCCTCCCCCTAACAACTACGTTTTCCTGACTGGACTGGGTTTGGATGGAAAAGACAGATTGCTGCATAGTAGCTTGCACAATACTATGTTTTGGACTTGTGATGAAAACAAGTGTCCATAACAAAGGGATGTTTTAGCCACTGCTGAGCAGTGCTTACACAGCTTCAAGGCCTTTCCTGCTCCTCACCCCAGCAAGCACACCAGGGGTGCATGAGGAGTTTGGAGGCGACAAACTCACCCCTGCCATGTCCCATCCCTGGCAGTGTCCCAAGGCCAGTTTGGAGCAAGCTGCTCTAGTGAAAGGTGTCCCTGCCCGTGGCAGGGGTTGGAGCTGGAGGAGCTTTAAGGTCCCTTCCAACACAAACCATTCCACAATTCTGTGATTCTACATGATTCTATGACACAGTCGACAGCTGACCCCAGCTGACCAAAGGGATATCCCACACCATATGGTGTGCTCAACAGTAACAGCTGGGGGAAGAAGAAGGAAGCAGTGGGACACACACATTTGGAGTGATGGTGCTTGTCCTCCAAGTCACTGGTACACATGATGGAGCTGTGCTGCCCTGGGTATGGCCTAACACCTGCCTGCCAGTGCAAAGTGGTGAATGGATTCCACATTGTGCTTTGCTTGTGCATGGAGCTCTGCTTTACCTATTGAATGCTCCGTATATCAGTCCATGCATCTTCACACTCTCACCTTTCTGATTCTTTCCCCTGTCTCACTATGTGGAGGGAGTGAGCAGCTGGGTGGGATGTGGCTGCCCACTGAGAGGAAAGCACAGTGCTGACTCATCATTTTCCTTTGATGTTCCAAGTCTGGCTTTCCTACACGTAAAACGTGCACTTGCTCGATATGTGAGACGGCTCAAATGCAGCCCCACAGTCTTACCGTATTGCTCGTCCGAATGAAGAGAAGAGTGGCCATAGTGGAATATCAGCTGGTTTTCGAGAGGCCCAGTAATAGGAGGCAAAGGCACCAGCAAGGGTACACTGACCCAATGCAATTGCAAAGTTCACCAGCCAGAGAAAGACAAAGGCATTGGCTAACTGGAAGATGAAGATGTACTTATGGTACAGGCTTTCTCCTCCATAAAAAGCAAAAGTACACTGAGCACCTGGACACAATTTAGTGACATTGGTTGTGTTAAAAGTCTGTACAGGAAGAAAAATAACACAATTATAAGCACTGAATTCTGTGTTCACAGGCTATGAAATTTAGCAGCTTAATACAAATCACATCATTCTGCTTGATGTCTCATTAGATCTTTAAACACTATACTGCAGTACTATGCAACCTGTTTACATACATAAGGATTTATATTAATGTCTTACGCAGGTGTTTAAACTATACAGTTGGCAAAAAGAGCTGTTTACCCTAACCCTGAAACCTAGAGATATGGAATTTGAATGTCAGAAATATAAAGATACACAAACGCTTCCGTTTCATTAAAGAAAAGCTGCTCACATAAAAAGTAATAGCAAGAAAAAAAGAATATTTGAAAATTAGAGGCCAAATCTGGCACTTGTGTAAATCCCCATGACTGAACTCAAATCAGCTGAGCTATGCCATTCTGTACAAGCTGCAGAAGTGCCAGAGCTTACCTTCTGTAAGTTAAGACATAGGTAAGCATACCCTTACTTATCTCATGGTATTAAAACAAGAGTAGTCTTTACGTCAAATTACTCTTCCCTAGTTCTGTTCAATTCATGTACTTGCTCAGTTTGGGTGTTAAATAGAACCAGTCAATTCCCTTTCTTTTTTAACATTCGGGTACCAGGATGGTGGGGAATTGTCTGAGATGTACCTAAACACAGCAGTACATTGATATTTAAACACCTGAAAATAACCCTGACAGAACATTTGATAAATATTTCCAGTTTTCAAAAAACACTTCACTTCAACCCCACAGTCAAGTCAAAAGACAAGTATTTTTGGAGCTTCATAAAGGTCATCACTGTGCCAAAAGCAGCCAAGCCTCTGCTTTGAAACCTGGCTGGGCAAGCCTGAGGCACAGCTTTCAAATTCTTCCACTGCCTTTTGAGAACCACAGAAATAGAAATCCTCATGAATTCATTAACACTTTTTCCAAATAAACCTGTATTTCTGCATCCTCCTTTCGCACCCAGTAAATGAGACTGACTGATACTCGCCTGCTCACAGCACACTTCAGGAAAAAAAAGTGCTTTATATCTCTAAATTGCGTTGAACAAAGGAGTCTTAGCTGAACATGAAGCACTATTTTCAGATTTAACATGAGGTATCATTAATTAAGATAGGCACATTTTCTCACACTGCATTTAGTAGTGATTAAGAAATACAATTAGTATAGCTCTCACTACAGGTAAGTATTTGTAACACGTACCTCTGGGTCACAAGTCAGGTTTGCATACTTGCACAGTGTTTGATTAGCCATTACTTTATACACAGGTTCTCCTGATGTAGCCAGAAAACTGAATGAGATATTTAAGGAGGAATCACGAACTGTGGGGTTTGAGCAACTCAGGAGTCTGCAGTGGGTAACCACAAGCTCTAAAACACTTGTGCCGGTAACAGAAAAACCACTCTTGCTATGCAGAGATGTGCATGAAGGGTCACAGAGAAGACTGAATACTTTCATTACTTACAGAACTAAGGCAGACTTCATCCCAGAGCTGTATGCCATGGCCAGAGTGAGCAAGGGGAATAACCTTGAAAGCTGACTCCTGCACACCCACCTCTGACAAGGCACATTGTGCAGTTCTTTGAGAGATTGGATTTTGGTGGCAGTAGACACAGAGCATAAGGATAAATCAGCACTGTCCTGTACATCAGTAACTGACCCTCTTTGCACAAGAAAGAACAATTTGTTTCCAGAAAGTGACTGTCCCCTTTCTGACACCTTGCCAAAGCCTTGCCTTCCCAGGAACAGACAGTGGCTGCTGTCAAGCAATTCAGAGGACTCAGGGAGCTCTATGCTCTCTCACTCCTTTCCCACATTTTTCTGTACAAAACACATGTGGAGCCCACCCAAGCTAACTAAGCGACCATTAACATCAGGTCTTTAGAGCATACAGCAAGAAAGGGCATAGTCGCTCTTTGCTGAGGTTCCTTTTTCACCACTTGAAGCCAACCTTATGTAGTATAAAAGAGTTTGTATGATCCTCTGCTTTGGCATGGGTTTAGTCCAGTTCTTTCTAATGAAATTAAATTCACTGTCCAGTTGGTACATCACACACAAATGCCCAGTGAGGAAGAGTGCACCAGTGCAGCAAGTGCCAAGTGACCAAATAGCCATTTTAACACTGGTTTGGCCAAGGTATCAGAGAATTATTGGGACTTGTAGACCAGATGACTGTTCCTCCAGAGAAGTACACAGATAGAAGGATACACAGCTGTCACAGCCCAGTAGGAAATACAGATTGCAATGAGTATGAAGGTGACGATTGGGTAGAACAACGTAGACATTATGTAGCCAATAGCCCTGTGAAAGAAACAAAGCATGTCAGTAAGCTGCAGCAGTTTAAGAAACAAGCTTTTTATCAGTCCTCTTCTAGCATCATCCTTTTAACTCTGACCTACTTGTTCATAGTGGTAGCATAATCTAGAGCTGGTACCTCAGAATACTGCAGGCTCTTTCTTCAGATGTCTTTACATCTTCACTTTGTCATTCCTACCGCTCCACTTTTATCAGCAGCACTATAATCAACATATCAATTTGCCATGTTCCAGGCTGTCTTCTACTTCCTCCTTCTTCATTACTGCTTCACAGATCCAGCTCTTCCCAGGCCACAAACCCATTTCAATCAGATCTTCTTGCTGCAGTAATGACCCTTTATTTCCTTGTCCCACCCTGCTCAGTTCCTATGCTCTTCCCTCAGCTACTACACACCTGAAATTACCTCTTGCTACTTTGCATTTGCAGACTCTGTTCCCAGCCCCTGTCCTGCCTTAAGTACTGACTATTTTGGGGCAGGGACATTCAGTTTGTTTTTGTAATGCCAGGACATGCTAACACCTTCCTGTGACTATATGACTTTCCTTGCACATGCCCTAAATGAATGGTGCTCCCCCCCTTTGGCTGTTGGCAAGCAGAAAGAAGAATGGCCTTTCACTGTTGGCAGCTTAGAGAGCTCCTTTTAACATCAAGGCTGATGTTCTAGAGGCTGACATTCTGTTAACAGCTCTTGTTAGAATGCAACTGCTGAGCAGGAACTGGAGCATGTTGGCTCCTACACCTCCAGGGACTCCTCTCTGTAAGCAAGTGAGCAGATACAGCCTTGCTGGGTAAACCGGCCACAGCGACCTCAGAGGTGAGCACCTCCAGCTGGGTTATCTCATGGGTTGGGATTGCAGAGAGCAGGGGTTTGTTCACTCAAGATTGCAGGTTGGTTCTCTTCACATTCTGGCCACCTGCCTCTTCCTGTTACTCTACATTGTCTTTCCAGTGACCCTGTAAGCTTACTACAAGCCTTTTTGTCTCTCAGTATTTCCTGCAGGAGTGACTTGTGGCTTTTCTGATGCTATGTGTTTGGCAGGAGGCAGTTTCCAAAATGTAAAAGCAGACAAAGTTACCCAATTCCTGCTGCTAAACTAGTAAATGCTGGGGAGAGTGCAAGGGAATCTTCATGTGCAATCAGGAGGTGAAGAGCAACACATCGATTTCTGTCTGAGTCTAGAGATGCAGAAGTCCAGTAAGAAGCACGCAGGAGAAACAGTCACTACATACTAGCAGTGTGCAGCAGCTCATGGGAGGCTTCTTGGTTTCCACTGACACCATGGATGGAGCAACAACTGTTAACTGTTTGCACCTATGGATTTCAAGATAATTGCAATATTTTTGAAAGAGTAGTTAAAAGGTATTGAAAAATGGAATTTGATTTCCAGTCGTTAGCAGCTTCTTTTGCATCTTCCCAAATACAGGGCATGGGCTGTTAGGTTTACAGGAATTGCACACAGAGCTTCACCTCATGCGTTATGCATGAAAGTAAAACCATCACCCTCAAGTGACCTTTCCATGCTGCTGAAAAACTACAGAATGTTATCACTTCCCAGCAGGAAGTTTATGAACTTCCTGAAATCCTTCTACCTGTCAAGTGTGTGAACAAAAGTGCTGCAGAGAGTTAAAAGTGTTCCTGGATTGTCATGAACAGGAACTAAAGAGGATAATTCAGTGCTGCCAAAATGAATAGCTATGCTTGATCTGCACGGTAGCAGAAGACAGGAAACAGGTACCTGGTCGAATGCAGAACTTCAGCTTTTCCTAATCCCAATACAAAAATCCTAAACCCTGACACCTGAGAACCATAACGTCAACAGAGAGGGCAGAAAACTACAAGCAAGTGCACACAGATAAATTCAGAGCTAACTCCATGTGCTCTAACAGAGCCCTACTTCTGAGGCCTATGAGACCCTAGCCTATTTGCAATGAAATCCAGGGGTGTGGTAAGTCATAGAACAGTTAGGATTGGAAAGGACCTTAAGATCATCAAGTTCCAACCCCCCTGCCATGGGCAGGGACACCTCGCTCTAAACCATATTACCCAAGTCCTCGTCCAGCCTGGCCTTGAACACTGCCAGGGATGGAGCATTCACAACCTCCCTGGGCAACCCATTCCAGTGCCTCACCACCCTAACAGGAAAGAATTTCCTCCTTATATCCAATCTAAACTTCCCTGTTTAAGTTTTAACCCGTTACCCCTTAGTGAAGCCATGCTGGCTGTCACCAAGCACCTTGTTGTTTCTCATGTGCCTTAGCATGCCTTCCAGGAGAATCTGCTCCAAGATTTTGCCAGGCACAGAGGTGAGACTGACCGGTCTGTAATTCCCTGGGTCATCCATTTTCCCCTTCTTGAATATGGGGGTTATATTTCCCTTTTTCCAGTCGTCGGGAACTTCACCTGACTGCCATGATTTTTCAAATATGATGGCCAGCAGCTTAGCAACTTCATTTGCCAGCTCCTTCAGGACCCACGGTCGGATTTCATCAGGACCCATGGACTTGAGCACGTTCAGAATTTTAAGATGGTCTCGAACCAGATCCTCTCCTCCAGTGGGAGTCCATTTCTCCTTTCTTATATTCCCATTAAAACAAACACAAACCAAATGCAAACCAGAACTAAGAGTTGACACTGGATAAACCAGGAACCACTATGAATAAAGCCTATCTAAATTTCAGAAAACACAAAGTGAGGAGGCCTCCCAAGCCCTCAACTCTCACATCCTGCTCTGCTTTCCTCTGTACTCAGAGCTGAAAAGAAGATCCCTGGACTACAGTATCACAGTATGTTTAGAGATTGGAAGGGATCTCAAAAGATCATCTAGTCCAATCCCCCTGCTGGAGCAGGAACACCTAGATAAGGTTATACAGGAACGTGTCCAGGCGGGTTTTGAATGTCTCCAGAGGAGACTCCACAACCTCCCTGGGCAGCCTGTTCCAGTGTTCTGTCACCCTCACTGAGAAGAAGTTTCTTCTCAAGTTTAAGTGGAACCTCTTGTGTTCCAGTTTGTACCCATTGACCTTCTCCTATCATTGTTTGCCACTGAGAAGAGCCTGGCTCCATCCTCGTGACATTCCCCCTTTATATATTTATATACACTAATAAGGTCACCCCTCAATCTCTTCTTCTCCAAACTATAGAGACCCAGCTCCCTCAGTCTTTCCTCATAAGGGAGATGCTCCACTCCCTTCATCATCTCAGTTGCCCTGCGCTGGACTCTCTCCAGCAGGTCCCTGTCCTTCTTAAACTGAGGGGCCCAGAACTGGACACAATATTCCAGATGGGGTCTCACCAGGGCAGAGTAGAGGGGAAGGAGGACCTCTCTTGACCTACTAACCACCCCCCTTCTAATACAACCCAGGATGCCATTGGCCTTCTTGGCCACAAGGGCACAGTGTCGGCTCATGGTCACCCTGTTGTCCACTAGGACCCCCAGGTCCCTCTCCCCTACACTGCTCTCTAACAGGTCGTTCCCCAATCTATACTGGAACCTGGGGTTGTTCCTGCTCTGATGCAGGACTCTACACTTTCCCTTGTTATATTTCATCAAGTTATTCCCTGCCCAACTCTCCAGCCTGTCCAGGTCTTGCTGAATGGCAGCACAGCCTTCTGGCGTGTCGGCCACTCCTCCGAGCTTAGTGTCATCAGCAAACTTGCTGACAGCACACTCAATTCCCTCATCTAAATCACTGATGAATATATTAAATAATACTGGTCCCAGTACCGACCCCTGAGGCACTCCACTAGATACAGGCCTCCAACTAGACTCCGCCCCATAGACTACAACTCTCTGGCTTCTCTCCTTCAGCCAGTTCACAGTCCACCTCACTACCTGATCATCCAGACCACACTTCCTCAATTTAGCTGCGAGGATGCTGTGGGAGGCTGTGTCAAACGCTTTGCTGAAGTCAAGGTAGACCACATCCACCGCTCTGCCATCATCCATCCACTGTGTTATTTCCTCATAAAAGGCTATGAGATTGGTCAAGCATGACTTCCCCTTAGTGAAGCCATGTTGACTGCCCCTCATAATCCTCTTATCCTTGATATGCCTTAAGATGGCACCAAGGATAAGGTGTTCCATCACTTTCCCAGGAATGGAGGTGAGGCTAACCAGTCTATAGTTACCCGACAATGTCTGGTCATGGAATTCTCCTTTTCTCTCTGCAGATTTATGCATCCAGACAAAAGGTTGACTGAAGCCATAAGGATCCAGTCTTTCCTAAATTAAAAGCTCCAGCCAAAACAACACCACTCCTCTACCACTAGCATAAGTCTCTTGGGAGACAATCCAATGGCAGAGCAAAGCTGGCAGCTGTAGGTCTTAGGCTCCTATTAACAGTGTCCCACACTTGGCACACACCTCCTTACACCGAGGACACATGGTGCCACTAACAGCATATGTACTCTTAAGGCAGGGAGCTGGGAGATAAGAAATGTCTTACTGCAAAAGAGAAAGCTCTTACAAGCACAATCTCAGTGACAAATAACTGGTGTTCTTTATACTATCTGTATGGCTGGACAAATCCAGTGTTGTACTTCAACCCCAACTTCCTGCCCTTGGTAGTGCAAGATGAAGCTCAAGAAGAGTAGACTTCAGAGATCATCTAATGAAATTAAAAATGTATTCCCAAAACTCAGGCAAACGTACCTACTGCCTTCCTTCAAGAGTGCAATGGCAATCCGGATCCGATTCCTTAGGAAGATCAGCATCAGTATAATTATGACCTCAACACCACAAAGGATTATCACTGGAAACAAACAAAAGTTAGATTTATCAAGAACTGTACCAATAGGCTGCTTCTGTAGTTTCCCCCATCATCCCCCGTGCTTTGCACTATTGCTCATGAACTTGACAGAATTCCCTGCTAGAGCAGCTCTTTGCTTCTCTCACTGCAGCTGCCAGTCTTCAATCCCATCTCATAGCTTTGGGGGGGATACTGTACATGCCCAGAGCTTGTCAGAATGGGCAGGACCCTGACAGTTCACCCTTTACAAATGCTGCTTTTTATAATACGCATTTTGCATGTTTATACTCTAATGCTGCTCATCTGTAGTATTTTGATACAATAAAGAAAAAGGAGATGAAGAGTCAACTTTTTCCTGAAGAGTGCAGTTTTCTGAGACACACTCTCCTATAACATGTACATGTACTTAAATCAATAGACTTGCCTGAGCATTAGCTTGGCGTGAGCTCTTTTCCCCTCATTTGAGTCAAAAAAACCCAAAGAGGTTAAGACAGTACAGTTCTGAACAAATGATTTTCACCTTTCAGTTGCGCTCTTGGAATCACACAAACTTCCTCTAAGGTTAGAGAGCTGAGAGCACCGTGTCCCGGAACATTTCCTCTCTTAGCTGTGAGCAGTGTTTGACTCATAACCCAGATTGTTTAAAGAGTCAGCTTCTGTCTGATTTCTATTTGTGTCAGTTCAAATCCTACTGCTGCAATGGGAAGTAAAAGAATTCTCTGGACACCACCTCCAGAAGGCAGAGTCTTAAATGCCTGAAGCACACCTCCTCTGACCCTGAGACACATCCGTTAATTCCAGGTGCCTCAGAGGGTTAGACAACATTTAAACCAGCCCAGCAGTGGTGCATGGTTACACACAGCAGGCCCTGTCTGCTCCAGCTGAAACCAAGAAGTTCTGTGGAGGGAGAGGAAGACAAAGGGATGGTATCCCTCAGCTGTGGCTTGTCTGGAGGTTTGCACAGGGACAGGGGAATTGGCTTCAGCTCCCACAGATCTGACACAGTCTCAGAATCCAGACCCAGATAGTCAGAGATGATGTTCAATTGCAACCCCAAGTACTATCAGCACCCCTAGCCATCAGAACTGCATGTGGCAAGTAACCCCTGTGGTGCTCAGAGCCACAGACTTCCTTCTGAACAATGTTTTTGTTACACACATTTCAGCACCTATTTCTGATATGGTTCTCCATGAAGGAATACATAGGCAGGTTCCTTTGAAGCCGGTCTCAATCCAGTTCACCTCTGTCAAGTTAATGTAGCCTGCCCCAAGCATTGTGAAAAAGGAAAGCAATGTCAGTCCGTGACGAGTTCTAGACTAGGACTAAGAGGGTCTATGTTTTCTTCAAGGACATTTAACTGATGTGCTGGGTGACTTTGGAAAAGTAATTTTATTCCTGGGTACCTCAATTTACTCATCTGAAAGTGATACTGACCTCTGGATAAACTGTACATTGGCTGCTAAGAATCAGACAGGGGAGTTACAAGGAAAGACTTAACAAAATACTAATACTCTCTACAGCCAGCATGCTAAAAAGCTCTGCCTCAACAATATGTAGAAGATGCTTGTGAGCCCAATGATCCAACACAGTTACAGGAAGACACAAAGCAGAGACAGGAGATTTAAGCAGTAAACTACTGCTCTGTTAATGTAGCTACCAATTAGGAGAGGCAGTGTTATAGGTTATGCACCATTCATCATCAGCTAGTGCCTGTGTGCCTGATAATAGAGCAGTAACAGTAATGCAAATAGTATTTGACAAGTATCTGCCCTCTTTTGTGCCCCTCCTTCCCTTGGGAGGGATGCATACCCTGCAGGCTGAATTGTTCAGTAGGATTGTTTTAAATACACTCCCCTTGTAAGAGAAAGCAGGGAAGCACTTCTGAAACCAGAAGTGATGACATTTGTGATGGCTCATTCCACAGCCTCAGGTCAGCCTCCAAGAAAATGAAAAAAAAAAAAAATATCTCATTTCTGGGCCCACAAGGAGGGGGCATAAACACACTGAGAGAGAAAAATGCCCGTCCTTATCTTCATCAGGACTTAGTTATTGCCTTCTGCCTCCCCATAGTGAAGGCTGAACACACAGGAAGTAGAATGCTAATAACACAAGCGTTTTTCACTCTCATCACTAGTGTGACTGCATTATGGTCCCTGACAAATACACTAGTAGCCTTGCAGAAAAAGTAGATTTTTGTACTATACAAAGAAAGAGAATTCTGCTTAATTCTATGAGCAACATATGTAGAGGATGAGATTTAACAAAGCAGAAACTGTAGTGAAACAGCGACTGAATCTCCTGAACATCCATTAATGGATACCAAGTTGAAAGGGCACTTACTAAATGCTAACCATGTTTGCCTCAGCTGCAGGTACACTCTGAAGTCTGTCTGGAATCCAATGTCATAAACAGTGAGGTCAGATCCAGGGATTCCTTTAAGGTGGTCATACTCCCAGTAACAATGCCAGATGCCTGTTAGAAAATAGTATCAAATGAGTGTTTCTGAAGAGTGCAAAGACAAGGTTGGGGTTGTTCTAAATCTTTGACAAGTGAAGCGTTTTCTCCTGAGCACATCAGATAAGCAAACCCCAAACACTCATTACTGCGAGACTAGCCAGCTATAACATCACATCTATAGAGAAGAAAGATGAGTACAAGTGAATGCAGACTAAGCACACCGTGATCAGATAGTTCAGGTTGCTACCTCTGGTACTAAGTATCAGCACAGCTGGGTTCTTACTAAATTTCACTGCCAATTAAGCCCTTCTCACTTAAACTGTGTCTAAACCTAGGCACTAGTTTTTCCAACTACAGCCTTTAATTGATGTAATCATTTACTTTCCTTGCCCAAAATTAAGCAATAAGGAAAAATAAATAGCCTCAGAGGGTGGAGGATTACACCTACCATAACCTATAATTCCAATCACACCAAAGATGAAAATCCAGAAGAGAACCCCAGCTGTGAACCTCAGTAACACAAGGAAGAGCAGACTCACAATCATTGCAATGAACAGCCCACTAGAAAGACAAGAAACAGAAACACGGGGAAAACAAGTGTGAGACTCTTTCTCGCATGCCTCTTATTCCAAATGAGGGTCACTTCATCTCATATAGGCAAATGGTTTCTAAAACTGTATTTCAAGATCTTCCTTATGAAATATTTCCTTATGGCTCTCTGCTGTTAGAAACAGACAGATAATGTATGATGGTCTCACAGTCCGCAGCCAGATATGTTTGTGCACACTAAGTTCTCAGGGTGTCTGAATGGGACCTGTACAGGTCTGGTTTGGTCATTTACACTGGCTAACCGACTCACTGCTTTTCCCAGGCCATGGCCTATTCTACAGCACAGAAAGTTAAACTGGAGAAATACCTGCTTGTGGGGAGGTTGCTGGTTTATGTCCTCCATTTAAAATCCCTGCTTGCAAAGAAACAATATTAGGAAAGTAACATTTGAGGAGCTTTCCTAGAAAAAAAAAATTAATTTTAGGAGGAAAACCGGTGACTCTTTCTGCCCATCAGAGAAGAAAATGATCAGGGCATAGTCATGCATGAAAAGAACCTGTTAAGAGCCATCAGTGGGACCCCTAGGAAAGACATCTCCAGTGTCTTTATCAAGTCTGTGGTAAGGAAATATTTGCTTTCATTTCACTCCCAGAAAGCAAGTCAGAAAGGAAAGAAGGACTGCAAAAGGCCTTTTTACTCAGGGGGGCCTTCCAAAACAATGCGAATAAAGCAGTGTAAACAATGGTTCCATCCAACAAAGATCCAGCTCAAACGCTTCACAGAACGTTTCATTTCTCTAGAATTTTGAGATGTTACAACAGAATTTTGTATTAGAACAGATTCAAAATAAATGAAACCCTCTTCTTGCCTGTGGTCAGAAACTTCTGAAGGTTCCAGTTTAATTAGCCAGTGACTAAAGATAAAAAAACAGCTCGGCCTGACCATAAACAATCACAACTGGATGTTTAGGGCAAACTAAGCCAGATGGGCAAAGGGACAAGAAAAAGAACATCTGTTTATTTACTTAAACCTTTGTAAGCTGGTCTTGAGTCCTAGCCCTTTAAATGCTTCCCAGCACGATGTGTTTTCCCTTTCTGAATGGCTTGCTTGAAATTCAGAATGTATTCCTCAAAAAAAAAAAAAGCTGTCATTTTGGAGTTCCTGACTCTGTTCTCTAAAGCAGTTCAGTTACCTTTATCTACAGTTAGCTTCACATTTACATGAGTTCTAGTAACACCAAAACTGAATGAATACACGGTACCAATTGTCCTTAATAAAGTGGTTCCCTTAAACTGAGCCTTGAAAGCAGCAGTTCTTTGGGGGTATGATAAAAAGAACAGAGCAATTCCATATTTGATTTTTAATCCTGCCTCCTTTCACCACCAGGCCTTCACTGTCATCACCCAAACTCTGGCACTTTAATATGTTTGCCCAGCAATCACTTGACAGATGCTGTCATTTGGTGAAAAGTGTGAAGAAAATTCTATCCAATGACTTTAAAAGTAACCACAACTCCTTATGAAAATATCCTATTCGAAATGTGGAAACTGGCTTCAGCACTGAGAAACTCTCTTCAAAAAATGGTCAGTTCTCCTTCCAGTCCATCTGTTGAGCAGTCTCTCCTTTGAAAGAATCTGCACTATAAGCCTGATTTCAGTAAGGGATCTAGAGAGAATGACCATTTATGCACACACACTTAGGTGTTTGCTTCAGCAAAATAGCTACTTCTTTTGTTTTGGTGCTGCATTTTTACTAATCGCTGATTATTGAGTAATAGTTGCAAGATAAAGCTAACTCTGCTCAGTAATTTTGTTCTTTAAGTTGCTTTGCCTGCTGCACTGGATTTATGGAGTTATACTGGAGTTATGTATTATAATGAATTTAACTACATATTGCTAGTATCAATTTAGAAATTGGGATGTGTTTTATATAGATACTAATGACACTTAGCAACTGCAATTGGTTTGAAAGACTCTTCATTAAGATTTTTTAGTTTTGGAATTACCACACTGATGGGTCCTGCAACAGAAGACAGCACCTCTTGGGTTTCTGCCTGGTTGGATATTAAAAAGCTACTCCAGACCACACAGTATGCATGTATGCTGTGCTATCCTCATCTCATGTACAGAACCATAACAACATTATGGCAGAGTTTAAAACTAGGTTTGGTAACAAACACATGCGTGATCTGTTTTTCAATTCCCCACACACTCCAAAGTGAGTTTGGAAAAACATAAAAATACCCATTAGAATCTTACATTAAAATCCAGTACCAAGAAATAGCATAGTCTTCAAAAATTTTTACTCCAATTGATCTTGCATCCAGGACATTATTGATGCCGCTGAGAAAAGACAAACCAGAGAAGAGGTTACTTTAGCTAGAAAAGCAAAATATATTTAAACAACAAATGGGCACAGTGAAGGAATTTGAAATATCTTTGCTAGTGGTGAGTATATTACTATCCTCTAGCTCCAGTTCCATAACCAAGCCAACATTAACCACCATTACCCCAAATCAAAACAACTGTCAAAATGTCTATACTGCTCCTGAAAAAGCAGTATTAAAAAAGCTTTGGGAGTACTCACTGTCATCAGATAGAACTGAGCATTATGTCACAAGTGCATACTGTTCAGATCTGCAGTGTATCAAGAGCCAAACAGTTGTCACTCCAGAACTGCTAATAGCAGAGAAGTGAAAAACAGCTCAGTGAAGCAAAAGGAGGCCTTCTTGGAGTTGTTTTCCTATCCTGCAAAGTGCTTGCCCATATTAATGTTCTCCTAACACTAGAAGAAATGAAGAATCATCTTATCAAAGAACAAACAATGTAGCCATAGATGCCAGAAAGAGGAAACTTTGTAAGGTGCGGGTGTTACCACTGCTGGTAAGGTGTGGTAGCCTCAGATCTAGAGATAAGAAAAGGTATCCCCGTGCTCCAGACAGGCTGAGGATGGAGAGCAGCTGGAAAAGAGAGGCTACTGCAGCGGTTTTCTCTCATCCTGGTTGCTATCCAGAATTGGAGACGCTTGCTGTCCATCTGCAAGGGAGATGCTGTCTGGCAACAGAGCCCAGGACATTGCCTTTGGACCTTTAGACGTGTGCTAATAAACACAGGAGCATGCTGATGAGGTGAGATGCCAAAGTACTAGGACAGTCCACGGCAGTAGAAAGGCCATTGTTGGAAGGAAGAGCTGAGGCTATTACTGGCTGGCCTGAGTCCTGCTGCATTAGGACTTCAATTTGAACCTCCTTTAACTTTCCTTGATACTAACTTTTGCTAGGAAAACCAAGTGGAATGTTTTAAAAACTGACAGTCAATCTGAGGCACACTAAGGCTTTTGGTTCCTTGCTCACTTCTGCATACCACAGTGCTGGTTTTCCCTACGGGAACTTTGCAAGTGCTCAGGCACAGAAACCATCTACTAGCAAGTCTTGTCTGGGTACCCTCAGCCATTTGCTGCAACAGATTCTGATTATTTTTTTTCAATTCCTAAATTATTTCACAGTCTCAGAATCCAACACACAAGCACTAAAGAAGGGTAAAACTTACTTTGCAGCTTCCCTGAGATCGGTTACATTTCTTGTTTTCCCTCTTCCGTCTTTGAATGTAGTCTGATTTGCCACGGTTAGCACACCATTCTTCGTGGAGAAGTCTGGGAAGCATCTCTTCAGAACTATTCAAAATACCAAAAGAAAGCAGAAACGTTACACCTCACATCAAATGAGCTCCACTTTTATTGCTTGTCTTTTGTGATATATTTAAACAATTCCAGAGTCAAGATTAATTGCTTTTCAGCTGATTATCTGATGGAGTGTTGACTTTGAGAACTCTTGCAAGAGCCATTCTATTCAAAATTAGGATTCTTATGCTCTGGGACTTTTTGTCCCAGCTCAGGCATGGTGGGAACACAGCTTTCAACTGAAGATTCTAGGTGCTACCGAATAACAACAGTAGTATCTGTAGCAGTTTCAGAATTTGTAATAAATGCATAACTTACTCTCTGTCACTATCTGGGCAGCCTGCAAAAACTGTGGCTTCTCAAATGTGTAATTTCATGGTAATAATGAAACCAGCCCCCAGGGACAGACTCAACATGTCACGAATGTTATTAGCACCCAAAACAATACATAACAGCAAGTGTCAGCTCTTCATATGCCCAGTGAGCTCCAGCACCAGACACTATCACCAGACATTCTTGGAAAGGAAGCAATGGAAAAAAGACAGAAACTATTGGTTAGACAGCGGGAGGAGGAGATTATAAAAGGGAAGCTTCTACGTCAGCGACAGATACTGGGACCTGTGCTTGTCTACTCATAAACACCTGCTGACCACAGTGACAAAACCAGCTTTTTGTCCCCTTAATTCCTCTGTCTCCCTGCATAGGCAGCACTATGTGCAGCACTGAAAAGCAAGCTGCCCTGTAACTGGGCTCAAGTACCACCTGAACTTCAACAGCTGCCCAGATGAGCCTTCCTATAGTCATGGCTTTTCCTTCATGCCAACAGCTTGGCTTGGATTGGGTGCTTACATGTTTTGGAAAACAGTTTGCGCTCCAAAGGCATTTCTGATCAGTGATGATTCAAGAGCAAGAAAGAGCTCAGCTTGACCCAATCACACGCCAAGTGTCCCTGGGTAGCACTCGAGTAAAAATAACTTTCAAACTGTTTAAAACTGAAGGGGTGCCACAGCCAGGTAACAGCCAGCTCCGTGTGATCTTGTCACAAAACACTTTTCAGACTGGAGCTGTGCTTTCATGTGAACACTCACAATCTGCTAAGATGTGTGTAAGAAATAGAACCACTCACAAGGCCTGCTTGGAATGATCATCGAAGGACAATCTTCATCACGTAGGACTTGAGCAACAGACTAAAAAGGGGAAAAACAGGAATGCTGAATACATAGCAGAATAACTATGTGGGTTTTGTTTCCCCCCACACTGAGAAAATGCCCCAAACTGTACTCTGTAGCCTCCTCCCCAGCCTTGACTGGTGGAGCTGCAAGACACATTCATGATGTGAGAATCCAAAGTTGGGGCTGTTCAGTCTGGAGAAGAGAAGGCTGCGTGGGGACCTCATAGCAGCCTTCCAGTATCTGAAGGGGGCCTATAGGGATGCTGGGGATGGACTCTTCATTAGGGACTGTAGTGACAGGACAAGGAGTAATGAGTTAAAACTTAAACAGGGGAAGTTTAGATTGGATATAAGGAAGAAATTCTTTCCTGTTAGGGTGGTGAGGCACTGGAATGGGTTGCCCAGGGAGGTTGTGACTGCTCCATCCCCGGCAGTGTTCAAGGCCAGGCTGGATGAGGCCTTGCATGATATGGTTTAGAGCGAGGTTTCCCTGCCCATGGCAGGGGGGTTGGAACTGGATGATCTTAAGGTCCTTTCCAACCCTAACTATTCTATGATTCTATGATCTGGGAAAAGACTGTTCTTTACTTTTCTCGTGACAAAAAAGAAAAGACCTGTTGACTTTGGATCAGCAGGTGAGGCAGTAATGACTGGGCGATGGCTCCTTGCCTCCCCCTTACTTTTATCTTAAAGAAGACTAAGAATTTAACACAACTAACAGCTGAATTTCAAGGTGGTTTAGAGATGGGAGAAATAACACAGTACGTTTGAGTCCAAAATCAGTTCCATGAAAGACTTCCTAGCTGAATTAGTGAGGAGCTCTACATAACTCGGGAGCCTTAAGAACTGGCTTGAGACACTCTGCTCTACTGCTGTGGAGTACTTAAGTACTAAAGGATACTTGCCACAGTACCACAACCACATGGGTAGCTGCAGATACTCTTTATGCAAACAGTAATCACTTAAAGAGTTAGGGATTTGATGTGCATACAAGACCTTCATCCCTGATTAAATCACTGTCAAAGCATATGTACAGGACAACTCCTTATATGGTGAAATCAGAGTAAGTCAAAAGCTTTGCTGTAGCTCAGTAAAATCATGCGCATTACACATTGCTTGAAGACAAAAAAGTATTCCATCACCTCCTGATACATACAGACCTTGCGAGGACTGTTAAAACCAGGTTTGCAGAACTGCTTGAAGTAATTCCACTGATCTGGTCTGTATCTGTAGGAGGCCTGAACATCAATGTAGGTCACAAACCTGTCTGGGCACTTTGAGACACAAAGCTGCAAGGAAAGAAGACACATTGGGGGTAGAGAAGGGTAAGGAAAGTCAGTGCAATCAAAAAGCAAGAAAAAAGGCCACCTGTAAAAGTGTGCTGTTTTATGGAATTGCCTTCAGTAATGTTTACTGCAGCATTTGGAAAGGGACACAATGCACTCCTGATTTCCTAGGTGAGTGCTTCTCAAACTCTTTGGTAAATACTTTCAAAGTCTCTCCCATTCCCTGGCACATCGAGCACCACCTGTATCTCTGTCAGCTCCACACATCCCGGTGGATCTGCAGAGCTTCCAGTCTGCTGGGGAAGAAACCCAAGTGTTTTTTAACAGCAGGAAAAAAAAACATTTGCCAGGTCCTCCTCTGCTCCCCTCAGCAGCCATGTCCTGAGTGAGGCGGTGCAGTCGCTGCTTTCACAGTACACACCTCATGTCCTCCTAGCACATTTGTAAGGAAAACTTTACTCAGAAAAGGCCTCGTGCAGCTAAAGTTCTTCAACCCTTCTACGCAGTCTCTTCAGTCAAACACAGCTCCACAGTTTTGTATCAATCACTCAGAAGTGACTTTACTACTGACTAATGATGAATCTCCCCCAGTTACAAAGCAGGAAGGGTGCACATGCCAGGAATGAAATTCTGAGGACTTGAGGTACAGCCATTATAAACCAGATTTATGTGAGAAATCAGGACCGGGGTTTGATGGAAGCATCCACTCAGAAGTTATGAGTCATGGAATGGAGAAGCAGTTGTCCCATTGGCCCCGAAGGCTCTGCTGGGCTCTGGAACCATACAAGTGTACAGCCGGTCTGACCCCTTAGTGCTGCTAAACAACTCCCACGTAGTCTGAAGTCCATCTGTTTAGCAAGTTTCAGCCTTTTCCAGAAGGTGTTCACTGTTTCCAGAGCTGTGCTAACCAAACACGCTTTGCAAAGCTCTACTATCCAAGTACCAGAGGACATCACGCAGGAAGCTGTGCTTCACCTCAAGGGATTCCATCATACATGATTCACCTGAGGGACTTTTGCCAAAAGATCTTGTACTAATCCTCAGAACAGGGCGGATGCTGCAAGAGGTCTTTCTACACAGGTGCTACAGTCCTGCGCTCTACCCACAGGCAAGGAACAAAGAAGTTTTGTCTTGCTGGGATAACAGGTAACTAACAAGTATATATTTTAACCTCAGCTTCCCACCTATGAAACAGGCAATGAAACACGCTGTCTATGGATCTAGTGAACTGTAATAACAGTTTGCAAATCCAGCGTCTTACTCAAGAACTGAAGCCCTTCCCACACCAGTTCTTGTTTTTTTCCCTCCTGCTGTTTTATATGAACGGGACAGGAATGAAAGACCTTGTTTGCAGCTCAAAAGAGGAATTATCAAAACAGCCTTTTCATAAGAGACCAGAGAATTAACCATCTGCAGGAGCAAACAGACAGAACCATTCTCTGCTTTGGAGATGATGTACATTTGGAAATAAACAAAATAACTACTCTGCTCCCCCAAACTCTCCTTCAGCAAGTATTTCACCTTACTCAATTCGTGATCACTGCCAACTTGCCCACAGCCACAGTCACATCCCACACAATGACCTGAGGATTTCTGAACAGGCTGGGCTGTTCCAGTAACAGAGTCTAAAGACTGCAGGGTAACAGTGTCAGTGTCTACATCTGAACAGAGGGGATTCCTGGAGCAAACCTGCTGCAGACAGATAAAGCTTCCATTCCAACAGCAGCTGGTCAGTGTTAAGAGGGCTCTTGCTATTCTTTGCTGGAGATTTCCCTCTCTTCAGCTATGTCAAATAGTCCATATGGTCACACTAACTGATAGGCCAGAAACATCTATCAAGGACAAGAGTCAGAAGTAAGGGCAAACTGAAATGGGAAGCACTTTTAAATGATAGTTAAATAAAGACAATTAACATTTGGAATCAGTAAATTGGTGACCATGTAACAACCCTCATCCAAATTAATACCAGACCTCACTGAGTATTGTCAAGATGGCCAAGACCATACTTGGTCACCTGCAGCTTAGTTACACAGTACAAATACTTTGGCAGCAAAGCTGGATCAGAGCAGCCCTTCACGTAAATCCTCTGACCTACCCAATGCCGTAAGTTGTTGCCCTAGAAGATGGAACAGATAAGCATAACTGTTCAGTTGTTCAACAAAGCAGGTCAGTGAAATGGTCTCATGTAAAAAACATCAGGAGGATGATGTTAACCCATATACGCTCAGTGCCTGGGTTTATTTCATAGCTTCACAAGATGCTGCAGCCCAGCCAAGGAAGTACAAATTGTGGCACAAGGCAAGAACAAGCTTTCAAGATCTTCACTTTTCAAAGTGCTGCAGGCTCTAACCATACCCAGATACTCCTGTCACTGGGGATATGCACATCTTCCTGAACATGTCTACTTTGGAAAACCCTAGATATCAATCAGAAGTATTTTCTGCATGCACTGATTACTACTCAACATCTGCTTGTGATGAATTTCTAAGTTACAAATTGCTGCATTCAGCTAAACAGACCTTTTTTTTTTTGTCAGCTCTTATCCAAAATACTCAGTTTTGTGCATTTCTCTTTATTTTTTCTGATCACCATAGGCTACAGGGACCATGTGCTGCAGGTCATCTATAAACCAACCATGTTACATTTTGAAGGATATCAATTTTTAAATCAAACAAATGCATGTCTAGTTCTTAAGCACAATGACTAAGAAGCAGGGAAGATACGTTATCTTGGTATTTCACTCACCTGTGTTGTAGGGCACTGTAGGTTTATTAACACCACGGGGCTGGCACATTTCAGAATGTTGAAGTAAAACAAAATGGTCTTGTTCCTATGGAAGTGGACATAAGTAATATTATAATTATGGGTCCTTGCACATCCTACCATTCAAAACCTGACAGCATATATTGATACTTAAATTCTATTATTGTGATTGGTCATTTTGCAAATACAAAGAAATAAACAAACAAAAAACCCAACAAAACAAACAAAAAAAAAAAAAGAAAAAAAAAGAAAAATCCCAAGCAGACCTTAGGAGCTTCATGCCAAGACAATGCTGAAACCAGCAGCATTTGGTCTAAGGAACTATGCGAGTTAAAGAATGCTAACTTTTGAGAAGGCTTTTTCACCGCATCTGTAGTCCTGCTTCTGAGAAGTGAGGTTTGTCAAATACCCCTGCAAAACCTCTGCGGTCCCTCTGCTTGCACTGAACACACTGTGCGCACTGTGTGCCAAATCACTACCGGCAAACGCTACACGGTGAAAGCTGCCTGTTTCTGGCTGATCAGAAGGTGGCACCAAAATCAATCAAAAGCTTTTTATGGCTGAAACCCGAAAGCAGCTGGCCAGGAAAAAGAATGATAATAGCATCTGCTCCTAATCCTAATAAACCTTCTGTGATGTAAAGAAGGGACAGTCTGAGGACTTTGCACCCCAGAATTCTCACACTTGACAGCTTCTGAAATTTCACTGCACATTCAAGTTCCCTTTAGAACTGGGGTTAGCTCAACTGCCTGACATTTTACAAGGTTAAATTGTTCTCACCAAGGTCTGTTCTGCGATGCACTGGTAACAAACCACGCATCCTGGCAAAACCAGTTTCACTAACATTAGCTGTGATTTCTGCAAATCCACAGAGTAAACTGTTGGACTGAAATGCCATCGTTCCTCAATAGCTCCTTGACAGTGCTCATAATCCATGAGCTGCTCGAACCCATTAATGAAATCTTTTTTTTTTTCCATAGGACTTAGCCCACCTGCCAATTTTAACAGCAGGAAAGAAAGTTTAAATATGTGTGTGACATACGAAAACAGCCACCAAGAACTAGGTCTCTGCTCTTTATAATGAAATTATGCTGTATTCCATTATTACACTGTGCTCTGCAGGAGGCAAAACAAGCTTACAGATTACATGGAGATTAATGGATGGATTGCAGGTAGACACAAAGAGGCCTAAGAGAGACTCGCATAACAGCACAAAGTAGAATTAACTTGACTGCATGGAATTCACTGGAGTCCAAATGGGTTTTTGCATGGGCTGTGAGTGCTGGCTTCGTTTTTAGCTTCTCTTTTCTACTCCTCAGTGAGATTGCTGTGAATGGTTGTTCCAAGCACAAGACTCAAAAACACAGAGGCTGTGATCACTTACCAAGTAAAACTTCTCAGAGTAAGGCCTTAGGGACTCAGGAAAACCATAGTCCTGGGTTAGCCTTTCACAGTGCTTACTTTAAGGGCAGCAGAAAAACCTGACAATGGCATTGGTGAAGGCATGATGAGCACATCCCACACCTCCACTTTCAGGGACCAGAGGGACTTGTTCAGAGGAGCCTCCTGGCCTACTGCCATGAACACTCCTGCTTTCCCAGGAGGTTGTGTTATGTCTCTTTTGGATTTTATTTTTATGAGAAACTCCTCAACGTGGTCAGTAAGTGTCAAAACGCAGTCTCAGCAGCTGTATTATTTTCCAGCAATCATACAGATGGAGGGAAATTTGTGGATAGGAACTGGAAAAATCACATTGTAAAAAATAACCAAAGGGAAGTCTTGATTAAGAAAGAAGGAATGGGAGTGTAACAGAGCAGAAGCAGGAATGGGAGTGTATGATAACAGAGATGCACATCCGGCTACAGACCATACAGTGCACCGACACTGTACGTCTGAGGCTCCCAAACCCATCTGCCCACTGCTTAGTACCTTAGGGCACAAGAGCAAATTGGGAGTGAGAAGGGGAGCAGAGGAGGGGTGCAGTGAGGGGAACACACAGCACAACAACTTTTGCTCCTAGTTTTTCCTCTTCAGGAAGTTGGCCTCTCCAAAAACTGCTGTGAAGAATCTCAAAGGGTGGAACAGGTCTTCTTACACCATTTAGTCTGTTTCTTCCCTAACAAAAACTTGGGAGGATATAGAGTCCTAGCTCTGCCTCTGTTCCACTCCCCATCTCCTGCTCCTTCCCTTCTGAATGCCCGTTGGACAGCAGCTTCCGCACAGTTTTTCCCCATTAGAAAACTAAATGGGAAAAGAAAGAAGAAGAAAAGAGATGCTACCAAACATTGCTTCTGGTTTGCTTCCTGCAGAGCCTCGAGGCTCCTGACAGTGACAAGGGCATAAAGGGTGCCTAATACTTATTTTTTAAAAGGGAGAATTAGAGGGGGAAAAAAACAAACTGTGTTTACAATTCTGTTTCATAAAGCACTTAGGTTTTTCAGAGGAAACATTGATGCAACATCTTTCCTTCCTGAGCAGCTATTTCCATGCAGAAGTGCTCTGTTGAGATCAACAGATTCATTTAACTCTCACAATTCAGGATTTAAAACCACTGGGAAACAGAGACAAGCAAAGCAAGAAACTCGGCAGGTATGCCAGGGAAGGTGTACTTACAGCTGACTGCCTCCCAGACCTCTCAGTCTCCTCTCTACTGGCACTGGGTAAACACCAGAAAAAAAAGCCCCAGGTGCTTCTCCTGATGGTCTTTTCTGTTATTTGGTGCATGTTGAGAAAAACTAAGAACCAGGCAATAATGTTTCAGGACTACTCTTGCTCCAAGGGGGATAAAAGAATTAATGATCCAAACCTGGGTAGTTAGAAGCTGTTCCAGCTAGTCACTTGCAACGCAATTAGTGATGCCATCTTTCAGCTATGTTGATCCTTTACCAAAAAGATTCTCTGAATGATGAAAACAACTGCATTCTAGTAATAATTTGGATCTACACATGCACCGAGCAACTAATCTATTTCTGACCTTTATGTGGTATAAAAGTAGAGGAAGAGTGTTGCTGTTTCTTCAGCTTCCCAAGAGAAGCCCCAGCAGACAGAGAAACTTGAAACCTCACACCTTATTCACACTGCATGAGTAATACAGGTACGTGAATGCATCGAGTACTCACTCATTGGGGGTGTCTTTCTGACCGCAGAACTGCCCGTAGCTGTCAGTTGGATAAATCACTTTCCTGGGATCGCCATGCACCCAAGCTGCAAACATACACACCGTCTTTTAGCATGTTACTCAAGTGCACACAGTTAACAGTTGAAGCAGATCAGCATGAATATGTATCACTTCTAATGTACCATTTAATCGCTGTTGATCACCACTGAGGAGTATTGGTTTGTAGAGTTCCTAATGGAACACCAAAGCATAAACCAAACTAACCTGAACTAAGATACGGATGAATCAGGAAGAAAGCAAACCAGCTCACTTTTTACCTTCAGGGCATGTGTATCTGGATTGTACCCAAAATATGGCATAATGGACTTAAAAACTGAGGGTTATCAAAAGGGGAAAGAAGAGGACTTAACTATGTAGACAAATCTGAGTGCTGACAACATTTCAATGGCATTGAAATTAATGGGATTAAGTGGGGGTGTGACGGATGCACAAAAGGAGGGACCAAACGTAATGGACTCCATTTGCACTATGAATGGAAACAAATTCTCACTTCGTAAACAAAAACATTTCCAGACCTCTCACTTGGCAACTTTCCCATTTTTCAGTTATTAGGTCTGCACCTGGCAAAACTTGTGGATTCTATGGACTAGCCACAACCGTGGTACTGAATGGGAAGAGGTTTATACTGAACTTTTAAACTTTTCTCCACTTTGAAGCAGGATTTCTTCTCCAAGCCACTTCCACCTGCACTGTGATTTCCCCTTAAGGATCAAGTACACACCAGCTCTCACTACTAGTGTCCCCATTCCTAAGCTGTAGGGTGCAGGCCTGACTCAGCCTCCTTCATGACTAGCCGAAGTCTAACCTTTGAACTCTCCTGACTAACTGCTTACCTTGACCCCAAGAATGGAACTTGCATTTATTTTTAAGTATCATCTGAAAGGAAGATGTAATACCAGAACAGAATTTCCTATTACTACCCTGAGATGACACCCTAAAATCAGGTTGCTAAAGAGCTGTTAGAAATTGGATCTTCTCCCAAACACCTCCTTGTGCTTGTATTATGTGGGAAAAATTACAAGAATTACAAAGCTTCCCAACCCAGTGTTCCCCATCCGCACTATATACTAAATGTCAGGAGCCCACTTAGCATACACTTGAGGCTTTGAACTATGCAAACCACCTCGAACTTGCTTCTCTATAATTATCCCATTTTCTCTCAACTTTGTGACATTATATTTAGTCATTTGTGCAACTGTCATTTTCCTCAAGGTCACTTTGGTAAGAACAACAGCTCTTAACAACGATATGTGTAGTAGAGACAGAACCTATGTAAGGTCTCAGAGCAGCGGAGTGTGAATTTATTGAAACGTTCAAGACAGATGCACAGCATCTTCAATGACTTGCAAACACTGACAGAGAATCTGTTGTTCTGCCTTTTACCTGTAACACTTTTAGGTTACTAAAATGAATCTGCTAGTTCTTTTAACCTACATTAGTTTTCCTGTGCTTTGGAGTTTGGAAATCAACCTGCTGCTTGGTATCAAACACTTTCTGTACATTCCAATTGGCTGCATTTCAGAGTAACTGTGGCGTTCTGACACTCAGAAAAAGTTAAAGCGCTTCAACAGTGTTAAGCACCACTCCCTTTTTCATCTGTTAGCCCCCACTGGCATATTTCAGTAGCGCTGCTTAACAGGAACATTTAGGAGGCATCAACTCCCTCTTAGGAATTCTTACAGTCAGTTGATAACTCACGTGTGCACATGATATTAGAAAGCAGGAGGCTCTCTGGTGACTGCAAAGAGTCTCTGTGTTCTGCCATGTGCACTCTATTCCATCATGACTGACAAGAGAGAGTTTTTCTTTCTGCTTTAACTTGACCTTGCTTCTGCAATCCAGAAGTTGTTGCTACTGCCAACAATACCCCTTTCATATTAAACCTGGAATTCTTTTTCACTCCTCAGACAAACCTGGGAGAAAGGAGATAAATGCCGCAACATAATGGTGGTGGAATTGATTACTTTGTTTTTGCTATCACAGTCTCATTAAGGATCTTTCCTTAGGAAGGGCTCACATGAGCCAGGCTTACTTCTTCCAGTCTGCTTGGGTGGACTAACACAGCCAACAAGAACAAAGTTCAGCTCCTCGAATGGGCAGAGCAGAGCATTCTCCTCACTCTCTTTTCAATTCTAATGCAAAGTCTGCTCAAGTATTTCAAAAGGCTCCCTTGGTTTTGCTGGCTTTGCATGAATCCTTGGTCTCAAATTTAACCACTCATCTTTTGCAGTGTTTTTTCTCAGTTACTAGTAGAAATTAGGAGAGTGCAAACCGTACCTGCTTTGCCATTATCAGATTGTCTAAAGCCATCCTTGGCAGTAGTTCTCCTGTGTGCCTGAGGCTTCAGTCATGTTTTCAATAAAACAGTATGAAAAAGAGTCTGCTTTTTGAACAGCAGATTTAGCACACTTTGTGAAATTCCATCACTGGGATCAGCTGGGGGATGGAGGAAGTCACCTCTCAGCTAAATTCCAAAGCAAAATGAAAACTAATTGTGTCTGATTTATGACATATATATTTAGCATTTCATTAACTCTGCACCAGAAAGAAAAGGAAAATGACCCATAGAAGAAAAAATACACAGCTGCTTTCATTGCCTGTGCCGGCAGCTAACATCAAGATTAATAAACTTAATCTTCTGTTGCCTTCTTTGCAAACTTTGAGCAATGACAGTGAAAGAATACAGGTGACAAATAAACAATTTCTCATCAGAAATCAGCAGTTCTCACTGAAAAGGAGGTTGTTGTAAGAAATAGCCTGACAGGGAGAGCAGCATCATGTTCTGCATGTTGTGCTGCACTGCTGGTGACTAAACAAAAAGGAATCCAGCCACATAAAATCCTGATTCCATCGTGCTCTGATGCTCATGAGGCTGCAACCTGAGTCCTGGAACAAACACCTGTGCTAAAGCGAAAGAACAGCTGAACTATACTGTACAGTTGACTCAGCCCTCAGAGTGGCAACATCACATTCTATGACACCAGAATAGCGTTTTCCGGAGGCCTGCAGTTATGTGGAGCCAACACACGTGGACAGTATCAAAAATAGCCAACGTCTGTCACTCAGTGCCTGTCAGATGCACTCCTTTTTTTGTGCTTTGTGGCACATGTCAGTGGTTGTAAAAGCTGCAAAGCTCCATGTCGAGAAAATGTGATTAGAGCTATGGCATCTTGTGATACTTAAAAACAAACTGCAAATCTATCTGGTTATACATCCTGTCTCATTCCCTCTCCCATGTATTTTTGAAAGGGCAGTCTTGCCTATTCTTATTTTAATTCCCTTAAGGGTATATTTTACATGTTTTAGTGTATGAAGAAACTGACCTGACAAATTGTTCTTACAGCTTTTTAACACAAGCAATTTATCAAGGTATTGAAAAAGGTAACAGAATACATGATACAGAATTTCTAAATCCATGTGCCTAACACTGGTATTGTAGAAGCATCCCTTGCTGTATCAGAGTAATACAGCAAGAGTCATTAAATTAACCTGTCCTTTGACGTGAGGCTTTTTTCCAGGATATCTTATTTGCTGCCTTTTACATGCACTTTGCTGAATTAAAATAATCTTAAATTAAGATGCTAAACATTTATAAAGTATAACCAGGATAAGCCCAAAGTATATGGAATATACATGAAAGTTAAGCCAGTTTGACAGGAAGGAAAAACAACACGGAATGTTAAATTAGCACTATTAGCTCATCTGTAAAGTTAAAAGAATGAGAAAGTAATCATAGAGTAACAACTTCTATTCAGTACAGTCACTCAACAGCAGCCACCACTGAAGCAGAACTAAGTACAGCCAGTAGCAAAAATCAATTTGTTTTCATCTTTCAAGGAGAGTTGGTTACCTTTTACTCAGACTACATCCCAGCCCACAGAAACACCAAATATTCTACTGCTGTTTACAAAAACACACATGTGAGCTATACATACATTACTGAGGGCAAATTTTGACTCACATTTTCAGCCACAGGAGTTGTGTGATGAACCTGCATTTATTGCTTACTTCTCAAGCCAAATTAAACAGGGATCCAAAGCAGCATTCACACATTTTCAAAAAATAACTTTCCCGTTCCATAATAAAGCATAATTATTGTGTAAGGATTGATTCAGAATCTATTTTTCTCTTACTGTGAACTTCATTGACTCTCATGCATTTTGTACGTGGATGGCCCCTGGAACTGGGCCAAAGCTGATCTCATCTTTTACTTAGAAGTAAATTAGAGTAAAAAAGAATAGATGAAACACAGTAGAAGGAAAGATGAAAAGCAGGGACCATGTGGATCTGGAGCTGGACTAAATATTTCTAGATTGAAAATTCAGATCTCTGTAAGAAAGGTAGAGAAAGTCATCAGCTACAAATTCAGTATCTGGTTCTAGGAACAGGTTCTAGCTGTCAGCAGCATTTCATGAGGTTTGCAAGAGAAGGCTGTTCAGATGCCTCCTGTCCAGCAGGAAACCACTGCATGTGCAGGGAAGGGAATAAGACCACTTCATTGGCTCACATCACCGTAACCACGTTGTCTGAGAGGACAGACACAACAGAGCAGGGAACTGGCAGCACTGCACTTGCTGTACTTACCCACAACTCCTAACGCAATGTAACCCAGAATGACCACTATGAAGATCACACAGCACACGATGTCTGTACAGTGCCTAGGAACAGAAAGAAACACTTTTTAAAAACAAGGTGTCTAGTAGAACCTTCTGAGAACACTGAATGTCACAGGGTGTTTTTAACATCTGAAGAAGATGCCTGCATCTGCACTAAGTGCAAGTCTCACAAGACTGCATTTGAGGTGTAAGCAAATAACTGTGTATGCCTTTCATGCTGTAGGCAGCAATAAGATCATACTGAACAACAGATTTAAACATTCTTGAAACAATACCTTACAACACTGAATCAATGAGATCATGTATGGTAGAAGCTCCTACAGGACATCTGCCCTAACGCTGGTATCAAATATTGTAGACAATGTGATGAAAGCAAGATTCAGCACAACTCACCTGTATTATATAAAGGTGGAAACATAACAGCATGAAATGAAAGAAAGGCCTACCTGCAACTACCCCTAATCTCTGCACAAGATTACGACTCAATTGTTTGACCTCATTTAACACAACCGAAATATGCTCTACAGAGGGGAGGAAAGTCCCCAGCAAACCATGGAGAGTCGTAACTTCTTTTACAGAGAATCAAACAAAGACAACACTCTTCTGTCTGAAACTGAGCCAATGAGTAAACTGTGAATATTCAGTTAAATTACTGTCACTGACTTACTGCTCTGCATATTAACGTCATGCAGGCAGAGGAATGAAGGTGTGACCACTTAGACTAATCTTTCTCCAGTGTCTGACCTTGATCAGAGCAGCTCCAGGACTGTAATTAACATGAACTACGATGCTCCCAGGCAAGCAGGAGGAGGTCAGTATACACTCCAAGGACCCAGCTGGGTGAAGCCAACTTTACAAGCCTTGGTTTCTAAAGATGTGTGGAAGCAAAACCACTGCCACCTCACAGGCTTTTGCAGGCTTCACTGCTTAAGAAACAGTTGCATCTGAACAGGTCTCACCAGGGTTTGATTAACAAGGAGTGAATTACGGCTAAAAGAGTGTGCTGCCCAGAGCCTCCTTATCTGAAGGATTGCAGTCACTGTTGTTATTTCCCACGTCCTGCTTGTCTGACACAGCTTTGGTGAAGACTGCCTTGTACAACCTAAAGGTTACAAGCTGTTCATCTCAGCTTGAGACTCCGTGCGAGGAGCTGAATCTCACCATAAAAGAAACCTTAGAATCCAAACACCAATCCAAACAGTGGGATTGAGTGCAACCTCAGCAAGTTTGCCGATGACACCAAGCTGTGTGGCTCGGTTGATACGCTGAAGAGAAGGAATGCCATCCAGAGGGACCTTGACACACTTGTGAGGTGGGCTGATGCCAACCTCATGGAGTTTAACCATGCCAAGTACAAGGTCCTACACCTGGGTTGGAGCAATCCCAGGCACAGCTACAGGCTGGGCAGAGAAGAGATTCAGAGCAGCCCAAGGAGAAGGACTTAGGGGTGCTGGTCGATGAGAAAATGAACATGAGCTGGCTTCAGTGTGCGCTTGCAGCCCAGAAACCAACCGTATCCTGGGCTGCATCCAAAGGAGTGTGACCAGCAGGTCGGAGGAGGTGATTCTGCCCCTCTACTCTGCTCTCGTGAGACCTCACTTGGAGCATTGTGTGCAGTTCTGGTGTCCTCAACATGAAAAGGACATTGAAAAGGGTATGTCAATTGACTGCTCACCTGTTCCCAGACAGAGTTCCATACTCTCCAGCCTAACATAAAGGGCAACTCCTCCTCCCTGCCTGCCAGGCCTGTCTTTTCTAAAGAGCCTGTAACCTTCCATTCCAACACTCCAGTCATAGGAGCCATCCCCCCATGTTTCTGTAATGCCTATTATATCATACCCCCGTAGACGAGCACACATCTCTAATTCCTCTTGTTTGTTCCCCATGCTACGGGCATTTGTATAGAGACATCTGAGCCAAGCTCCAAAAGAAGCTGGCTCATTGGCTGGAGCAGCCAAAATGTCTCTGCATTGCTCTGAGCGTTTATTATAGGTGCTGGCAACTGACTGGGAGTGTTGGGATGGAACAATGCCCCCCTCCCCCAACACATCTAGTTTAAAGCATCCTTGGCCAGTCTGGCAAGCCTCCCACCAAAACCGTTAAAACAGCTCCACCAGCCCCCAGTAGACCTGGCCTAGAAACTTGGGTCCCATGTTCAAGACACCCAAACCCCTGACTACGGCACCACCCTTCGAACCGTTTGTTAACCCGGCTAATCCTCCTGGCCTTTTTAAGGTCCTCCCCTTTATCCTGGAGAATTGACGAAAAGACAACCTGAGCTCCAGAGCCCCTAGCCACCTCTCCCAGGGCTCTGTAGTCCTTCTTTATGTTCTCCAGGCTATTACTATCTGTATCACTAGCACCCACACAGATCACTAGAAGTGGGTAATAGTCCATGGGGCTTACTACAGCAGGCAGCCTCTCTGCAACATCCCTGATCCGTGCCCATGGTAGGCAGCACATCTCCCTTGAGATCAGGTCAGGCCGACAGACGAGTGCCTCTGTCCCTTTCAAAGTAGAGTCCCCTACCGCTACGACCTGCCGCTTTTTCCTGGCAGCACTAGTAGAGATCTTCTTTACTAGTGCATCAGCTGGTTGTTTCTGGTGTGAGGGTGTTTCCTCATCAGCCCCCACAGGACAGCAAAGTGGTTTCTTCTCAGGAGAAATATGGCACCACAAAAGACTTTAATTACAACTCCTATAGTCTCAAAGACCTCTGCCAGTCCAATTCTCATATCTCTCATTTTATGATACTAAATGCAATTAGAGGTTACACCATGTGTGCTAAAGCTCCCTTTTAAAGTTTTGCACAGCCATCACGAACAAGTACCCACCAACACTTTACCAGTTCTGCGTAAAGGACAAAAGTATTGCTGTTATATCGGTATTTTAAACTATATGAGAAGTACATAAATCCTCTTTTGGGTGGCTTCAGAAAAATTTGAAACAGTTCACAAGATCAAATGTTGTTCATGTGAAATAATGATTTATTTTACAAGATACTATGGGTGAAACCCTGGCTCTGTTGAACTCTGTTGTCAGCTCAAGGACCTCACTTTCAGTGAGATCATAGTATTACCTCATAGACCAAAGGCTCCACAGGAGAGGAAGAAAAATGCAAAGCAACCTAAATGAATAAATCAAAATAACTGTGTAAAGACAGAAGGTTATACCGTGAAGATTCTGGGAATTTCCAAAGGTGCAGAAACTGGAATGATAGGAATTGCTTCGAAACAGGAAATACAGGAAGTCCATGCTTACTACTGAAACCTAATCAGAAATACTCCAGCCATACTTTAACTAAAAATAGATTTGATATTCTTTTTTTCAAACTAAGCAGGTGGCCTGTTATGGCAAATCTGTTTTTTTGCTTTGTTTCAGGCTAATGAGGCAGAATAAAATTACTCAGGAGACTGAACTGTTAAACTGAACCCCAAGGAAGATGGATTAATGAAAACAGGATTATGAAAATAGGAACCGAGAACACTGTTCGTCATACAGGCTCCAGGATCTTGCTTACAGATAGCATGATCACACTTTTCTGTAATAATGATGTGTTAACATTCTAAGATTAATGATAAAAAGCACTTCACATTTCTTACGGCGGAGATGATGAAAACATTCAAAGTGCTTTTGCTAACAGGCAATAATGGAAATTATGATGGGTCTTGGTACTTTTGAGATAACCAGGTTCCATAATCTGAGCCAAACCACAGTGAGTCTGTGTTTGAAGACAGAAATAAACTGCTGATAAAAACACCCAATTCATCATTTTCAGGTGATGTCATGAAAGCCCCCCATTTGGTTAAGTGCATGGTTCAACCTCCTGCATCACATTTTACTGCTTACTGCTGTCATTCAGCTTAATTTATGGAGCCTCCTTTGTTTTCCACCGTCTCTCAGAAACATACCGTAGAATCATAGAATCGCAGAATAGTTAGTGTTGGAAAGGACCTTAAGATCATCAAGTTCCAACCCCCTGCCATGGGCAAGGACACCTCACACTAAACCAGGTCACCCAAGGCCTCGTCCAACCTGGCCTTGAACACTGCCAGGGATGGAGCATTCACAACCACCCTGGGCAACCCATTCCAGTGCCTCACCACCCTAACAGGACAGAATTTCCTCCTTATATCCAATCTAAACTTCCCCTGTTTAAGTTTTAACCTATTACCCCTTGCACTACCGCTTCAGTCCCTAATGAAGAGTCCCTCCCCAGCATCCCCATAGGCCCCCTTCAGATACTGGAAGGCTGCTCTGAGGTCTCCACACAGCTTTCTCTTTTCCAGGCTGAGCAGCCCCAACTTTCTCAGCCTATCTCCGTACAGGAGGTGCTCCAGTCCCCTGATCATCCTCGTGGCCTCCTCTGGACTTGTTCCAACAGTTCCATGTCCTTTTTATGTTGAGGACACCAGAACTGCACACAATGCTCCAAGTGAGGTCTCACGAGAGCAGAGCAGAGGGGCAGGATCACCTCCTTCAACCTGCTGGTCACGCTCCTCAGCTTCTCTTGCCAGGTTACATGTGGCAGTGCACACACAAAGAATACTTTGTGCATGGCATCCTAGCAAATAAATGAATGCAAAGATAAAACTGTCCATACATATTAGTGCCTAAAAGCTATTTATTCATTGACAGTTTATGCACTTCATTGTTAATGACTGTCTAGAACCTCTCTCTGGCAGTTTAATGCACAATCTGTCACAAGTGCAATTTCACTCAAGATGCTGCACTAGCAAGAAACTACAACATTCATTAGGGAAGCAGCACAAGCAGATATTAGCACCTAGAAATAGCCCTGAGCCCGGCACTGTGCATCTGCAGAGAAAACGAGGCTCAAGATGTTCACAGTGTGAGTTTCAGGTTACCACTTTCAACTCTGCTGACGCATTAAGGTGACCACTAGTGTCCTTGCTTCTGAATTCCTTTTCCCAGCTTGACTGACAGCTTGTGTTCCTAGACTTCCCTAGACAAGGTCGTGTCAAGGTGGTGTTACACTGTACCACCCAATGCCTTTAATAATTCTGAAGACGCCTTTCTCCATTGAGGCTGAACTGAGAAGCAAAATCTGCTGTAGAAATGGGCATTTCTATCAGCACAGTGGCACTGAAGGCATCATCCTGCACAGCTGAATAAATGTGCAGGGTGCCCAAAAGCTAAATATTTGCAGAGAAAGTTCCTTTCAAATTCCCCCAGAATAGCTGCTTCTACCAAGAAGGCCAAAACACATGGAAAAAGTTATTTATGCAAGTTTTACCACAAGATGTTTTCTGTCAACTTAAATTCTGCATTTTCTTAATGAGTATGATTGATCTGCACTGACTTCCATGGACTTACTAAATTGATATGTCTTAGTTACAGGTACAGTGCTTTATCAAGTATTGTTTAGCTCTGGAACCCCCAGATTTCAGTATCTGGAAATGCTCAACATCTGTAGACATGGAATGCCCCAATCCAGGAACATCAATCAAGAATTCAAAATAAAATGTAGGCTTTCCCATACATATTACTGAGTACGTGGCATGTTATGTTGATACAGACAACACCATGCACTGGAATATACATGGACCAATAGAATACCAGTAGCAAGAGAAGTAATGTTATATTCTACCAACATTTATCTACAGCAGACTTTCATCTTTAGAGGGCTATTTAGTCTAAAAAGCATAAAGGATAACTTAAAGGTCAAAAATTGTTTATTATTTCAATATTGACCCCAGTATCAAGTTATGTGCACGGAGACATCTATAAGTGATGCACTTGTATTTATGAGAAGGTGAAGTTTGTATTGCTAGTTACAGTCAGCAATTTTTATTATTTTTTTCCAAACTCCTAAAGATAATTCAGTGCTTATGGTCATTTACTGGTATTCAATTCGCCTGAGAACCCATTAACTATATTTTCTAATCACAGAGAAAAAGGTGATCTTCATCTTAACAAGAACACTGAATTTCTAGAAAGACGCTGAACAATTAAAGATAGCCCAGGAGGTGTCAGGAGTTTGTAAAACATAACAAGAAAACCAAATCTACAGTGTGTCTAACTAGCAAGAGGAAGCGGAGAAAAGGCCAAGAGAAGAATACATAGAAGAGGGAGAAAAATAACAAGGGGCAAGGGAAAGAGTTAAGATAAACTCCACAAAATCTGAGGTAAGTCAGAAGCGTGATTTACTCATTTGATTTTGCCCAAAGCAGTTTAGAAAAAGATGCCATTGTTGTATTGACTCTATAAATTCACTTGCTGAAACTTAGGGAAAATCTAAGTGAAGGAAGACAGTTCATTTCATACTCAGAGTAGCATCACTGCACTAGGAAAAAGCAAAAGCTTGTTTCTCCCTTGTATGGTGGTACCTGACTGATTTATCCACACACATATGTAAAATATCTTATGATGATGCTGCTGGAAGAAATGCTTTTTTATTCTTAAAGAAGCATAACACACTCTATCTGGATTTCTCATTAATGGCAAGCCTTCCCCACAGCATTCCCCGTTTGCCTGGCATTGGCATGAAACACTGAGACCATGCAACAGAGCCCTCCTCTCACGTGACACATCTGCCTGAAGTCCAGTATGAGGGACCCTTTCAGTGCTAATGGGAGAGACAGACAGACAGCTAGCTAGCTTTAGGGCTGTGACACCAGAAAAGTGTCCATACATCCAGAAACTGAGAGGTGCCCAACTCACTCTGCTCCTAGGGGTGAACCTCTTGGGGCAGGGACAGACGGCTTGCAGGAAATTTCTGCCTTTGAGGAATCAGAGATAGCTTAGACTTAAAATATGATGTGCTAGATTTTGTCTTGCGTGCATTCAGTTAAGCTGATCATCAGATCTGGTGTGAGGAAGGTGCATGCCTCCAGCTCAGACTGACAGGAACACCAAAAGTTTGTATTTTCCTCAAGGAATTTGTCTACAGGAATCCTGCTGCATCATTTTGAGTTGAGAAAAAGCTCAGCTACAGCTCACAGGGTGGATGCAATGTACAAACCTCCTTACAAGCATTTTCTGGTAGAAATGCACATAGGTGAACGCTTAATAACATCCCTAAACTATCACTTAAATTCATTGGTGTACACAGTGCAGTATCATGATACTGGCAGTATTATAGGGATGTTCTCTAAACAAACATTTTCATTTATTTCTAAAATTATTAGTTTTCAGTAAGGAAAAGAAGAAACACATGTTGCATAGACAAGAACAGTGTGTGTGTGTTCGAATAAGGGTACCACAAAGCTGCAGTTCTCTCATACAAGACAGACAAAGATGCTCTGAAAAATTGCCCATGATTTCTTAGATGCTTTCTGAGTAATTTCACTTGTAAACTACTGAACCTTCAAAGTGGTAACGGACATGCTTTCATCTGCACCACCCACTATGGAGTGAAGTCAATCCAGATGGTTCTGCTAGGAGGCTTTGTAACAAAGAAGTATGTTTCAGAGCTACTTTTAGGTTAAACACAATCCACATTTTCAACGCATATTTCACTGTACACAAACATTTCTATGGAGAACAGAGGCAGACAGTCTTGAACGGTTCAGAATGAAAATGGAAAAACCAGAAAGGACTGCAGGATGTAGTCATACCAATGACATCACCTTGATAGCATCATTTTGGATCTTCATGACCTGGCTGGCTTAGTCAATCAACACCATGGACATTGCATTTTAATTGTTTTTAATAAGAAGATATTTGCATTAAATATACCAAACTCCACAAACAACCCCCTTGAGAATGATGGTACTACCAAAGCACTACACACATCGCCTTGCCGGTAACTCCTCTTACCCACCATTGTTCAACATCTAACCACTAGCAACAGCTCTGTTCTAAAACAAACAAGCAAGTTCAGATAACTGAATCTCCTTGCAAAGAATTCATCTGACAAAAATTGCGGGAGTAATCCACTCCAGCAAGGGTTTCCGGGCTGGGTGGCTCCAGCAGTCAGCCCCATCACTGGCAGTGCTCCTGCCACTGTCCAAGCACTACCCATTGTCTACCAGGGATTTACCCCACTTGCCAGCTCGGTACGAAAGGAATGGTGCACACCAGCACATGCTCTGGAGAGAACTAGGGCAGTCCCTTAATTAGGTGACTTTGGGAGCAGGAAAACCGTCTGAAGAACAGAGTGTGTGAGGGTTCCAGTCCTGTGCTGTATGAAACCAGCCAGAGTGCATCACACAGTCCTGCACCCCAGAACATGACAACACCTCAAATGTTCCTACTTATGTCATCACAATGTAATTCAGCAGGTACTGGACAGAATGAGGTGTACAGAATTGGTATTCAAATAGAAAGAACTAAAGAGCATACAGTTAAATATTCCCCGGTAATCACACATCCCCCTAGGTGGTAAGGATTGTCTTCTGGATTTAAAAGAATTGCAGAAAGAATCAGATTCACAAGTTTTGTTAACAAAGTTATTTATCCCACTCACTGCAAAACTGAAAGGATTAAATGAATGAGTTAAGCTATTTACCTGTTATGGATAGGTCCTCTGAACTTTGGGTCAAATTTCCTTGGTTCACCTGCATTTAAAATAAAAGAGTATAAAAATATGTCCTTATTTAAAATAAGATCTATAGAGAGGGGGATGTTAGCAGCAATCTTTGAAGAACATCTTCCATATATTCCTATTTAATCAGTTCTGTTAAAATCATTTCAAGTAGGTAATATCAGTAATCCACCAAAATAATGACCTAGTTTTTGTAGATGAGATCAAAGCTTTTTTTCTTCCATCTTAAAAACTCTGTGGGCCTCACATTTACCACACAATAAATTACCTCAATGTACATTCTATCACTAAACCTCTGCACAGTATTCACAGTAGAAAGTTGCTGATATTTGAGAGATAAGGATTATGTCTTGCAGTCACGTTAAGTGTGTTTGGCAGAAAGGGAACCTACCTCTCTGAAGCTGCAGGCTAAACTCTTCGGGTTTTTTCTTTAAAAACCAATTTCGAGTCACACCTGTATCTAATGTTCTCCTTAGAGCCTTGCAGAGTTATTTGCACTTCACACTGCTGTGGTTGCAGGACTGCATGGACAAGAGCTGCAGGTTTGCCCTTTTCACACTGGGATTATGAGACGATGAAGCATGGCTGGAGACTGCAGAAATTCTGGGCTGATCTTGCTCTCTCTACACAGCTCTGCTTGGTAGTGAAACTGCTCTGGCTTATATTCTATCATATTCCTTACCAAACTATACTGAGAAACTGGCAAATACCAACCCACCACTGTGTGCTTCAAATGGACTTGAAGACAGTGTATTACAGCCTGATTTCACTCAGGAAAGAGTAACACAAATTTATCACAGAATTTAAATTTTCAGCTTTCAAGCTACTATATGAAGAGACAGAAGCAACTTCATCCTTCATCCAAGAAACCAGGATTGGGATTTTTCCTCTTGAAGCTAACTGTCCAGTTTCATGGGGTTTTTTCCGAGTTCAGTAGCAATAGAGATTTACTGAAACAAACTTTGTGCAATGAAAAATTACTTCTTCATTCAAATGTCAATGCTACAATACAAATTAATGTTTCAGAGTGCTTTCTCACTGCCTCCTTAAGGATCTCCTCCTCTGAATATACCTGGTATTGAAGGGTGGAACCAGCCTAAGCTTTCCCCTGCCCACAGAAAAAATACTTCTTCAACTAGAGAAGAACTCAGCAACTAGTCAAAAGCAGAACTTACTTATTAACTAAATACCACACTTTGTTCTTGGTTTCTATCAGAAAAACCTTATCAAAATACACACAGGCCAGTACAATAAACAGAGCAGATAATAAAATTCTATTTGCCCTTCATCTGAGGTGTTTAGGTCCACCTTACCAAGCTCCTAAAACAAATGCATTTTAACACAGGAGAGACTGGGAAAGCTAAATATTGTAAAGGTTGTTCCTCCTTACTTGTGTTCTCTTCACTTGTTTCTCGTAAGTAAGCCATTCTATACTTTTAGTCATACTTCTGTTCCTTTTCTGTACCTTTTCCAGCACTACTAGACAGCACTGAAAAGGGAAGGGCCAGAACTGCACAGGATATTCAACACAAATATTGGCCGTGATTTATACAATCATACGATGACTTTTTCTGTTTGATCTCAGTCCATGCCTAATAACTCTTTCTTACAGTCTGCTTCCTCTGAACCATCCACTGAGACCTCAAGTCTTCACTCCTGAACGTTAGTAGTCAGCTTGCTCCCAAGACCAGAGGAACCTGTCCTCCAAAGCTATTCAGTATTTCCTTGATGGTTTCAACAATGAACTAGAATGAACACTGAAGCTGTGCAGGTGACAAGTGTTAAAATACTTCTGGGGGCAGAATCAAAGGGATTTTGATGAATGATTTAACAATTCAAAGGGATTTTTGTAAACTGATGAAAGTGACAAACTCCATTCACATCAAGCAGACAGATTTTCAAAACCACGATAGGCTTTCAGCAGGGAAGCCATACACTTAGATTCTGCTTATAGATGTTTCTCAAGTCATTCTGTGTTGTACTGAGAAAGCTTGTTGACAGGGTCTGTCTCTTGAATATCCAGGATATCTCCATCAAGTAGAACAGTTCTACAACGTAATCAGCTGGGCCAAATGCAATGTGTTCCCACAAGTGTCCTCCTTTCCATATGATCATTATTGACAGAGTAAATTGTAAATAGCTCAAGTTTTGTTATTTATGTCATGCCTGCGTGCTTATGAAATGGAACAAAGAAAATGCACATGAAAAGATACATGTATTTATAGAGCATATTCAAGTGTAGTAGATGAACCCCACAATACTGCTACTATGAAAACTAATATACACTAACAGGCAAGAAAATGAACCCCAAACATTGCAGTAAACGAGCTCTGATTCAGATAGAGATTTTTATCTCCATCAGGCAAGAGGAGGGGTGCTATGAGATTATAACTTTATTCTGAGTTAAAAAGACACAAAAATCCCCTGACAGAAGTATCTGTAGCATCGCTGTTTGTGTCATTCTCATATTCCCTACTTAATTACCAATTTGGGGGCAAGGTGGGAATTAGGTAGGAATATTAATAACTGACGTTATTAGTATTTACATAACTCCTGGTAAAAGCAAATCAATTCCTTTGCCATAAAAGCCCAAATGTATTTAGAAAGTGAATTCCAAGCCACAGGAGTTTGGTAGGAACAAGGAAGAAAGCACTTCCATGGGATAATGACTGTTATTTTTTGGTAAGATTAAAGAAATGAGATTACATTCACTCTTTGGAGATGAGGGATCTATTTCACAGGCTGATTTATAACAGGAAACATTTATACATAGATTTATAATATCATTACAGGAAATATTTCACAAAATATTTAATTTTCCAATCCTGACTCCAAACAGCATATGAATTTAGTTGTTGCACTTCATCACTGTAATAATTTTAAAAAGCAAACCTAAATTACTTATCTAAAATAAAAATCAGCAATGTATATAGGGAAAGCTTTCCTTTGATCTGTGATCTGAATAAACTTGCAAATACCATGCTGGAAAAAAATAGGATATTGCTAATAACTGAAGAAGTTACAGAAAACCATCTGGGACTCAATCCAAGCCCATTAAACTAAACTGAAGTATCACAGTTGAAATTATATATACTTTTTATATTATAAAATATATATATGAAATTATATATATATAATTATAAACTGTCGTAAGAAAGCAGGTGAATTACCGTGTTTTCCATAGTAGTTCTCCTCATCTCTATCCATGTTGCTGTACCTGGATGACTTTATCAAGCTGTCTTGTGGGAGATACTGCCTGCAGGCTCCTGTGCTGCTAGCACACTGCCCCCCAGCAAGCACAGATACATCGAAATACTATTTAAATAGATCTTAAAATAAAGCTGAGTGTCGGGCACTCTCCAATGAGAATGGCAAGTCCCAGAGGAGGCAAGCCTGGCTGTGAGCAGGAAGTTACCACTCAGTGCCTTGCCTACCTTCTGCAAGCCAGTCTGACAGCATGAACAAAGAGGAATGACTCTTATCACCTTGTATAACCTACAGGGTATAAGCAGAAAGGGAAATGTGTTCACCTGAATAGCATTTCTAAAATAATCCTATAGAAGCCAATACAACCAAAAAAAACCACTGATCTTTGCTGGGAATGAGGTATCACAGTTGGTAATTATTGTGCTTTTGTAGGCTGTGCTGCTGCACAGTCTTCAGAAAACAGTCTTCACCCGTCACAGCTGGCCACATCTTTCTTCCTGTACCCATGCGACAAGCTGCCCCAAAGTACAAGCCATACAAGTAGGGAAGGTAAGATTTACTCTGACACATTGTTTAAGTCTAAAGCGTACACTGTCCGTGTAGATTGAACCTTTGTTCCTGCCAAGTGGAACGTTCCTCTGTAGGAGGAGTCATAATTTACTAACTTATCTTCTTAATAAAATTTACATTGTGCAATTCTGCACAGCACAGAAGTGCAGAACAGCGGAGTTGGTGTTAGAAAGTCTTAGCATTGTTACTTTTGATACTGTAACGCTTACGCAGTGAACGGAACTACATGGCATCACAGAATGGGAATCTGAAAGCCTGAAGCCATTAAAAAAAAAGAAAAAAGGAAAAGCAACCAACCTCTCCTTTTAGCCACAAAGGAACAGAACCCCTGTGTGGCCATCCTGACCAGCAGGAAACTCCCGTTCTCTATGAAAGATGACCAAAACACTTACAGTAGAATTCTGTAATGAGAAACACATACACTTGTATATGCATTCCTACAATAGCTTTACAAGACAGGGCTGAACTACACGCAGGAACAACAGAAGTAATGTTTTTAAGTTAACCCTGTCACTGTGTAGTACACAAGGGCAAAGAAGAATGATCTCCTATTACAGATCACAAATGATGTCTGTGACAGGAAGCCACAGCCCATTTTGCTATTACAGAACATAACAGCTATAGAATCATAGAATAGTTAGGGTTGGAAAGGACCTTAACATCATCAAGTTCCACACCCCTGCCATGGGCAAGGACACGTCACACTAAACCATATCACCCAAGGCCTCGTCCAACCTGGACTTGAACACTGCCAGGGATGGAGCATTCACAACCTCCCTGGGCAACCCATTCCAGTGCCTCACCCACCCTAACAGGAAAGAATTTCCTCCTTATATCCAATCTAAACTTCCCCTGTTTAAGTTTTAACCCATTACCCCTTGTCCTGTCACTACAGTCCCTAATGAAGAGTCCATCCCCAGCATCCCTATAGGCCCCCTTCAGATACTGGAAGGCTGCTATGAGGTCTCCACACAGTCTTCTCTTCTCCAGGCTGCACAGACCCAACTTTCTCAGCCTCTTTTCATACAGGAGGTGCTCCAGTCCCTGATCATCCTCGTGGCCTTCTCTGGACTTGCTCCAACAGTTCCACATCCTTTTTATGTTAAGGACACCAGAACCGCACACAATGCTCCAAGTGAGGTCTCACTTGTTAAAATGTTTATCAGGTGAGGTATTTAGTACAGTCACTATCGGCAACCGATGGTAAAAGTAATATGAGGATGCAGAATGGTATTT